CTAGGGTCATTATACATTTTCAAGTTCTTTTAAATGCAATAAAAACTGTGCCATACCAGTAGCCACATGCAGTCTTTGACTGTCTCTTTTTAACTAAAGACATCGTCTCCACTGGAGATATTTGTTTTAGGTGTATTTCTTTTCTCGGAAATTGAAATGGTTATGATTAATTGGTAACAGGACTTCTTGTCGTCCAGTTCTGTCTGTAATCATACGCGTGATTGACAAATCAGACTCCGGTTTCGCGGTCGTCCGATTTTGTAAATCACTTGTATGATTACAGACCGAATTGGACTCCTCTCGGTCCTATTACCATTATAAATTTCAATTTATTTAACACCTCAGCCCTCTTCAGATATACCATTGTTATTTTCCATTGTAATTGCAAGAAGATTATCGTCGGGCTTAAGCTCAAATAGAGACCCTGCTATCGATATCTTTGCAAGTTAATCTTTGCATCACTGGGCGTATGCCACCAATAACTAAGCAACCAATACAAGTGGAAATTAGTATAGTTTTCAGTGGGAGGTCACGCGATCCACGAACAAAGACATTCTTGTTTCCTTCGAAGTTTCTACAAGCCGTAGATCTCCGCTAATTGAAACAGCATAAAGATGGTGGCCCATTCTAGAATTCTTCTCTCCAAGTGTTCCGAGTTCCGTAGAGAAGGTGAATTTATCGACGTACGTTTAAAAGTGGGTGATACACTTTTCCCAGCTCACCGAGTTGTTCTTGCGTCGTATAGCGATTATTTCCGCGCCATATTTACTGATGGGAAAGAAGCGAACCAGGAACTGATCGAACTGAAAGATAAAAGCATTTCACCGGAGATATTCAAGATCGTTATGGACTCCATCTACAGCGGTGACCTTCGTGTCAACCAGAAGAACGTATTTGAGGTTCTTCTCACAGCTAGTCAGCTTCAAATCGCGAGTATTGTTCAACTGTGTTGTGATTTCCTAAAGAAGGAATTCATAGAAAACGAAATTGACCTGAAGAAATACTCCGTGCTGTGTGCAGTCGCCGAAAGACTCGGTCTGAGAGATCTGCAAGAGGCCGCGGAGGCCAAGATGGCATCCATTTACAAAGATGTTTGCGAAAGTAAAGAATTCCTTACTCATATCAGTGCAGATCAATTGCTCAGCCTTCTTGGTTGAGATGACCTCAATTCACCCTCTGAAGCTTTCGTCTTCAAATCAGTGATGAAGTGGATCAGATACAAAGGGGAAGAGAGGATTCCAGTTGCTGGGAAAGTTATCGGAGCTGTTCGTCTGGGGCTAGTAGACGTGAAGATAGTGATTAAAGAGTTGAAAACAGAAGAAATGCAGCGAGTTCCCGAGGTGAACATTCATCTGCAAGAATCCATGATGCATCACTGCATGCCTTCACATGAATTTGCTGCAGAGAAAATGAAACTAAGATCAATGCGTCCGGTAAGAATTTAATTCAAGTCATCTTACATTTTTCTGGTTATACAAAAATTGCATTAATTGTTCATGGCGTACCTTCTTCACTCGACAAAGGAGAGCCCGGTTTCATAGACTCTCTTGACATTCTGACTTAGTTTATTGTTGCCCAATGTTGGTGGAGAAAATCTTCTCGGCCGTGAGCGTTAATGTAATGCGTGAAAGATCTTCCCTTTTTAAGATAAATTGTTAGGTTACCTTATCCAGAGTTTTAATCGGTTTTTTTGTGTTACACTCTCTTTAAACTGGCGATCGGGTAATGCAATCAAGTCGCTCTGCCTACCACGTGAGTCCTGTGGATGGAGACGAAAAATTTCTTATTTAAATTCGTAGCACACTTTCTCCATTGCAAAATATTACAACTAAATTTATGCATTTGATGATGATTCTTAACAATTTCAGGGCTTTTAAGGTTTGCAATGAACGGTCTTTCCTCTTGTGCATGTATGTGCCTCGCCGCTACCACTGTGGTTTGCGATGAATAAGTATACGGGCTTCCGTTTTCTTGAGAGTGTAAAGTATTTTTTCCTAAAAAACCGTTGGAGTCAAACTCTACACGTTACAGACTAAGATTTCTTTGTTTTATTTATTGATTCCAAGTTAACTGATCATGGAGCGATCTTTTACAATGGACCACTGAAAGTTTAACAATCACATCATTTTGTTCCCAGCTTTAACCAAAGCCTCGTCCAGCATAATGATTTCGGTATCACTTGCGTGCGTCAACGAGGTCATTTTCATTCCAAGTTTTTTTAATTATTATTTTAGGTTCTAGTGGCCATCCATCCTACTCGAGTTTTAAAAAGAGAAACATTTGTAAATGAGCAAAAGACCAGAGGCAAAATAGAGGAGAAAGCGGTAAGCACCAAGCGCTCGACCTTCCCTTGTCATCAGTCCGAAGACGCTTTGGCTCAATATTTTGATGTTGACAGCAAATTGTGGAAGCCTTTGGCTTCAGTTGCTCAGCTGGGCGAAATAACTGATGTATTTTATTCTGCAGAATTGATTGGAAATAACCTGTATGTAGTCACAGAGGTGCAAAAGCAACAGGGGGGCTTTAACTATGTTGTATACCGTTATCATATAGTAAATAACACGTGGGAGAAACTTCCACAGTTGTATATAGAGGTGTACAGAGACGAATCGCGCAGCCCGCCTAAAATCTGCTTATGCTCAGTCAGTGAATATTTGTATGTCTTTTCTCAATCGAATTCTCCCCAAAGGTACGATTTGAGCAATAACGTTTGGCAAGCTGGGGAAAAGTTGAACTTTCCCCGACATGAAGGAATTCTCCAATTTCTTGCGGCGACAGTGATGAATCGTAAAATATATGTAATTCATGATTGTCAAGATCGTAAGAATGTCAACAAACCAGCGGTATTTCATTGTTTTGACCCAGTGAAAAATGAATGGGAACGTAAAGCTTCGACCTGCCATCCTCATTTTGAGTCTAGTATTTTCGTAGTCAATAACAGACTATATGTGGCAGGGATTTCCAATTCAATAAGAAATTTGGGGCGGAACTATCTACCTGTGGAACTGTATGACGAACGTAAGGACACCTGGTCTGTTGTGGAGCAGAAACGTATCCCGCCCAACTTATTAGGTGCGTTTGAAATTGAAAGGAGGGTGTATTTCTTAATAAACAATTTTCCTATTGACAGTGGTATTAGAATTCCTCCGGAGGAAAATTTTCCTGTCCACTTAGGGGGTGAATGGAGAAACTTAGCAGAAGTAAATAAATACGCAGTCTTGTGTTATTTGCCTGTCAAGAAAGAAAACATAAGATAAAGGAAGCAGTGATAAATTTAAGGTAAAAATTTCACGCATATAAAAATCAGTTAATGCATGGAATGGTAAAGAAAGAGGTCTAGATACTTGTTTCAATGTAGTTTACTGAAAAGCTATATTATGGTACTCAACACTCACCATTAAAATTCACTGTTGTTTCAAAGGAGTGTTAGTAGGTGTACGATAAAATAGTTTATTGTGTAGTTTTTGTTCCATATTAGCTAAAAGTACGGCACATGAAAACATAATTTGGTTTTCAATACGATACATAAATTGAGTAAAACTTTTTGGACAGCATTGAGAGAAGTGAGGAGTCATGAAATAAAGCTGTAGGTTATGAGTATGGTTATGAGTATATCGACTTTCTTAGATAATTTTCTTAAACGCGTACTAAGTATGCAAATTGAAAACTGGCGAAGGCCAACAGATCATAACTTAAAGTGATCTCAGTTTTGCAAAGGCTTATGGGTATGATACTTTAACGCTCTGATCGGTTTCATTGTACCTTGTAATATTAACTAATTGCCAAATAAAGTTTTGGGTTTATCGATAAAAGTTATTTTTCACTAAAGAGGCGTTAACAATGAATGATTAATAATGAAAGAGAAACACATTGAAGAGAGTGCTCGCGCTCCAGAGGAGTCGATTCACTGAAACGGCGAATTGATTTTATTGATTTTCCAGGAGCTCTCTAAGCTAAAACTACGCCCTTTTTGTTTATTCTAAAAAAATCTGAAAAACTGAAAACTCTGTTAGTGTATTACAATCATCTGTTTTGTTTGCCCAATCCTACATTTTGAGAATTTCCAAAGCAAAAAACAGATCTTTTTCCTTTCTTGGAAAAAAGAGACATTGCTCGTTCAAAATTTTAATTTCACTTCAGCATTTGAAAATACCTATCTCTCCCTTGTAAAATTTAACCCTTCCCCCTCCCCCTCGAAACTTGAAGGTGTTTGCGTGACCGTTGTAGAGATCTGATCACGCAATATATCGTTTTCAGTATCGGTCGAAACGGCTGCATTATCTGAGATTCTCCATTGCAAATGCGCTCTGTTCAGAGATGAAGGTCAATTCATCGACGTTCGATTAAATGTCGACGAAGACGTCTTTCCAGTCCCTCCTATAGTGCTGGCTGCGAGTAGTGATTATTTCTACGCCATGTTTACAAATGGAATGAAGGAGTCCAACCAGGAAATAATCGAATTGAAAGACGAAAGCATCACGTCAAATGCTTTAGAGCTCATCTTAGAATTTAGTACTCGAAAATATTGTTATTATTGCACGAATAAATAAGTTAAAATCACATTTTTGAGCGATGTTAACACACTGTTTTAGTGTTCAGTCGAAGCTGTACTAAGGAACACCGTGATAAGTGGTCACCCTGTATTACACGGTCGGTTTATGCAAACATGGACTGTTTGGAAGTATCAGTCAGCAGAGATGCAGTGTTGAAATTGTTGGTCTGTTTTTTGAACGAGGCATTCTCCATTTTTTTGGTCAAATTTCTTAACCGGAAGCCAACAGGAGGATTCCACTGGTAGAAAGAGACTCAAACTAAGAAGAAAGCTCATAACATGGTCCGCCCTTCCCCCCCCCGTCCAATTCCATCACACCTCTCCCTCTAATTTCCCTCCGCTGATCTCTAATCAGTGCTCACGAGTACCTGGAATGCGAGCTCGTGGCTGGATTGTGGGGATTTGCCAGCCAAGATGAGTAATACAAAAAATGATTTTATTCTTGATTAATTAAAACTTTTTATTTCTGTCTGAAATTCAGCAAATTACGGAGTAGCATATTTGCCTCTACCAATGAAAGCTTTGACGAAGTTCGCTTTCATCACAGGAATTAAATAAATTTAAGATGAAATATATTAACAAGTATTTGACTCAATTTTCTGTACAAACTTTAAAACCGTGAAATTAACTTCATCACATTTTGGAACAATACAATGGTTGTCGTACACGGTATACTCAATTGTCTGTATAAACTTTTAAACCGTGAAAGTAAACTTCAAATCACCTTTGCAAATCAATAGAAAGGCTGTCGCAAACGGTAACGGGCGATTTTAGTCGAGAAAGGTATTAAAAATCCCACTGACATTTTAAAATTGACCCAAAAAGGGCTGTTAACCCTTTAACTTCCAAGATCTGATTCTCGATTCTCCCCTCTAGCTGCTCTACATTTCCTTGTAAATTATTGAAAATGATTTAGTGTTGGATCAAGGTAACAACTTGTATCTGATAATTTCGAGAATTCTCATGACCTGTTTGATTCATGCATGGATATTATAGGGAGAAGTTACAAGTTTAACTCTTCCAGGAGCTAAAGGGTTACACATGAACTGGAATTGATGATAACTAAATTTAATATCTCATGGCTTTAAACCGTTTTTGTTTCAAACATCAGTTACGACACCACTGCCTCTGATGTTGCATTCTGTGCACCGTTTGTAACGGATTTTAAGCCGTGACTTTCAATCTGCTCTCGGCTGTGCCTTCTTTCCTTCGCTTCAGCCAATTTGCGTTCGTTGTCAGCCTTCCTCAAAGCCTCTACATGCTCTTGCAGAAAGTGAGTCACCCTTTCGTGTTCAAAAGACCTGGCAAAATCCAGCGCCGTTTTGCCGTGCTCTGATTTCAGCTTGACAGGGACACCCTTTTTAACGAGAAGCTTAACAAGCGCTTCAAAGCCATTAAGTGCAGCGTTCATCAGAGTCGTTTTCCCTTCCTTGTCCATTGTGTGCACATTGGCCCCATGATGTATCAGTACCTTGGCAACGTTCACATTACCGCTCACAGCGGCTACTCTCATCAGAGGAGTCCAGCCTACAAAAAATTATCGCAAAGCAGACCGACATAAATATCTCATAAACAAACATTTTCGAGCAGAGAAAAATCTGCAATGCGCCAGTGGATGTTCGTTCTACCTATGAATCAGAATTGCTCGTCGAAATTTGGTAATCTACGATGATAGAATTGAAACCTCACCACCGAACACACGTACTTTGTGCCACAAGTTCCTAAATCAAATTCTTTGCAAAGTCATTGGGGGTATATTCGTAGGCAAGCTCAAAATTAGTCATCGTTATTATTGTTCACACAAGATGCTGGCGACATTGATAATACTTGTTGCATACAGAACTCTTGTCAAACATGAACTTCGTAAATAGCATTGCACATCAAGATTTCTCTGTGACTTATGACCAGTTGGCACAGCATCCTACCACGAAAATAGAAACAGCTGATGTTCGATCCTCGGATCCTAGTCAGATTGTTTCTTTGTCCAACACTCACGACAAATTTTTATACATACTTTTTTGTAATAAACGCATTCGACGATGAAATAATTTTTCTTTTTATAATTCATCAGGGGAGTATACCAAAGCAGTGATTTTGGATATCTTTGCCAAATTTTAGCTGCGTATCAAATGTTCTTCAAGATCTGCCTCGTTATCTTAGGGAGTGGCTTGAGCACTAGAGACGTCACAACATTCGACCTCGACTAAGCGTCGTTCTTCCTCCTACACCGTTTCCCCCTCTAGCCGCTTCCTGCGTGTCTTACAACGATTCTAGAATCACCTGAGGTTTCGTCTTTGACGTCCACTCGGCAGCCATCTTGAAGCATCCAGCGGATCATATCCAAATTTGCTCCGTCGACCGCCCAGTGAAGGGCTGTTGAGCCTGTCCTATCCACTAAATCCCAGTCAGCCTTATGTTGTTTTAACAGCTGCGCAACCTCCACATTTCCTGCAAGAGTTTATAAAAAACGTCATGAACAGATGTGTTTTAGAAAACGTAAGAATGTCTAAATTAGAACTACCCAGGCCAATGAAAGTCAACACCGGACAATTTCACTATTCTCCATACTGTACTCTATATATTTCCTAAGGTGCTGACAAGGAGAATTTGTTTAAAAATCAAGAGCTTCTTTAGTCGTTGATCATTTCCTTTGTTCTTGTGACCTAAATATTTGATTCAGGGGTGATATTGTAAGGAGAAATTAGATGCTAGTCCCTCTTAGGGTTCAAAGGTTTAAACCATAGTTGACTCACACATCACGTGAACTCGAGCCACAATCGATATCTTCTGCGTTTTCATTACACAATTGCTCTAATTTTACTCTCGATAACTCGAACCCTGCGGAACTCAAACTGGGGCAAAAACAAAGTGTACTGTAGTCCAAAACTTTTAAGTTATTTAAAAGCAGCTTTGTAAGCTTAAACGTATAGATTTTGGCCATTATGATTTTAATTCGAATACGTTTTTCACGGGAGTCACGAGATCATATCAACACATTTGCCTCCTGAATAGGTGAGGTGACTTGGAGACGCGGGCGGCACACTACTCCACGAATTAACAGAAGAACCCGCTTTCGTGTGAAAGCTTTGAGAGCCACAATTCAACTAAAAAACCGATCGAACATAGCAATCATCAGGGCCAAGAGATACAATTACAGATCACAGAAGTTGGAGAGATGACAAATTTTTTGACAAAGTATGTCAGCGGAAACATTTTCCGTCAAGTTTAAAATTGCCGTTTACAAAGATTGGACCTTTGGCGAAAGCTAAATGCGTCTTACTAACCAAGTGCGACGCCCGTACTGTAAGTCACGGACCGAGCTTTTTACCGCTCGGGATTATGCCCCAAGCGCGAGGCCCTCAGGTAATAAATTCGCGAGGAAAAACTTGGTTTCATAATTTACAGTACGGACCGATAAAATGAAGCTAATAAGATATTATTACATGTTTGGAATCCGATAGAGGGGCAAGATCTCAATTCAAACAGAATTTTGAATTTCAGCGGACCATACAGTGAAGTAAAGCCAGCTAAGTTGACTAATCGTAGCGCACGTATCAACTTACTAAAGATATATAATATCACAAGTTATAAACCTGAGAAGCAAGCCATCATCAAGGCTGTTTTTCCACTGCTGCTTTGAAAGTTCACATCTGCGCCAGTTTCCAGCAAAACTCGTGCCACATCTACATAACCTTTTTGGGCTAAAATACCATTGGAAAAAACAATTTAATTTCGATATGTTACCACTGTCCAGGTGGGAAACTAACAACCCTGCAAAGCTTGCAGATCTGGTGAGAAAAACCTAAAAAAGAGGACGAAGCTAAAGCTGATTGAGAAGAAATAATTGTTCATAGTTAGCTGGTATAACAATTTGTAACAGATGCAACGAACAGGAATTTTGAAAAGAAGTATTCATAGTCATTAGAATATGTCACAGTGAAGAATAAATTCCTGAAATATTTTCCATCAAATGGAACTGGTTATTGATGATACCAAAGTAAGTAAGTTATATAGTTCATTTAACTTAAAAAATTTTCCAATTTATGATTGTGAAATGTGACGGAAACATCGAACAATTTATCGTCAAAACCACGTCATAGTTTTAGTTTCAGTAATTGTGTCAGTAATTAGCAGTGGATTGTGTTACCTGCAATCATGAGTGGTGATAAACCAAACTTGTCGGGGGAATCAACTGCTTGCCAGCTAAGTCCTAAAATACAGAATTGCCAGTCTGTAAGTAAGAAATTTAATGCCAAATTTTGGCTAAAAGCTATAAGAGCCCCCTTTACTGACTGTTGGTAAACTGTCAGCTAACAACTTAGTAACATTTGACCAACATATCAACGATCAGTAAGAACCTGTAAGCTGTCAGACACGTCCGATAACAGTCAGTTAACTTACAGATAGAAGTTGGCTGACAGACGACAAACAAACCATCGACCAAAAATCAGAGATAGATGACAGAAGTTGAACCAGCTTTGCTAGATTTACTGAATATCCCACTCTTTTAGAGTCTGCTGTCAGTCAGTATAGAATACTACTGTTGAAGACATTCACGAACTCTTCACTCCTTCGCTTGTGCATAATCATCATAAGGCCCGTAAAGCCCCGCACGCGTAATCCCCCAAAAAAAGCAACAGTGAAAGCTGAGGTGTGTGGGGCCGGACGGGTTGACGTGAGCCGGTCCGGAAAAGCCATCCGGCCCTGCCCTCACGCAGCTCTGCTGCAAAAACTTAAAGAAAAGGAAGGAAAGAGTAAAAAAAGTCGCGGTTTTTCGATGAGTTGTGGTTTAGTTGTTCTGACTCGAAAAAACAGAGGAAAACTTTCTATTGTAGAATCTTTTTTATTGCCCGCGGGCGCCCGTCTATCGCGTCATATTAAGTCTGAAACAAAATTTTCGAAATTTTCAATAGTTATTGGCCATATGATGAAATACTCATCGGCTATGTCTGGTCGGGCCGAACGGGAAAACATTTGGCTCTCCGTCATGGCGCACGGACCTCGCTGCGCTTGGTCTGTATGTCATGAAATTGAGCCAACATTTTTCCCGTCCGGCCCGACCAAACAACAGCGGTTTCAATAACTTTTTCCTCTTGGCGGCTGCTGATAGTATAATAGGCCGCTGTGCCCGGAAAAGGGGCTGTAAGGCGAAAACAAAACATTAGAGCCTGCTCACAGGCTAACAGAAGGCGGTAAGAGAGCATACAGGTGGCAGTAGTCTGTAGGTAACTGGCTGTTATTGAAGCCCCTGTTACAAAGATCCAGAATAATTACTGGTCGCCTACACCTTAACAAAAATTAGTGATTTCAGTAAGCGCAGTTCAGATTGATAACATATCCAAAGAACATACACAAAAAGGTCTTAATTAACAGTATCCCTGAAAACTTAAAGAAAAGGAAACTTTTTAAGGAATATTTTGGACAATTGCAGAGTCACTGGATTTAGTTTATAGGCAAGGAATCATTGTTGGTTGGTGCTGAACCCATGATTAATTCAGAAAAATGAAACAGCTCTCCCACAGGTGTTCATTTCCATTCCCATTGATTCCATACCACGTAAATTACAATATTATGTCACTTTTTAATTTTTTTACCGTGCATTACAGAAACCTTTTCCTAAATATAGAGTAAAGAAGCCAAGTGTTGAGTCCTTTAAGAAAGAGCGAACCCTTTTTATTCCATTTCATCTTTTTATTTCATTTCATTCAGTACCTTTTTTTCTAATATATATTTTTTTGTTCTAACGATCCTCCATAAGTGTTTCCCTGTAGAGAGAGGTGGAGTAATAACGGAAAAGAACATGAGCATCGTAAACTTACCAGGCAGAATATTTCTGACAGTCTCCACATCTCCCTTAGTGACAGCCCTCTGGAGATCTTCGCTGGTTTGAGGTTTCTTTGTGGTTGACACAGTGACAACAGCACTCCAGGCACTTGAACCAAAATCATTCATACACTTCAGTCTGTATCGGTACTGTGTGCGAGCCTCCAGACCTTCAAAAACATTCCTGTTGAAAAGAAAGGAGAAACTTACTGAAAAATAAAGTAGCTCTTAAATAGCAAAGCCTTTTTTACACCTAGCTTCACCTTGAAAGTTTCTTACTGACAATTTTCTGCACCATTTGACCTTTGAGAATGACTGTAGCATTTAATCTCTCCTAGCTAGCAAACAACATTAGCCCTTCATCAAACATTAAGGTCATGAGAATAAAGGAAATGGTCCCCCAACCAAAGAGGCTCTTGATTGTTAAACAAATTCTCCTTAAAAGATTTATTGGAAAATGTATAGATACCAGTTTGGAGAAACTGCATACTGATGTTAGGGTGTAAAGGGCAAAAAATAAAGGTAATGAAGGAAAAATGAGTCGAGGGGGGTGAAAATGATAACACCACCTATTAAAATTTAGTGCTGGGGCACTGGCAACTCTAGATCCACAACAAGTTGTTATTGTATTGAATGGTAAGTTTCTTTTGAGATGCTTGATAGGACCAGGACACAAATCATCAAAATAGTCTCTTCATAATTTCACTAAAATGATCTGTGAGAAAGTTTGAACAATTTTTTATTCTTTTCAGAAAGGGGAAGGTCTAATAGGGGGAGGGTCATTTTCTCAGCCACTTAAAAGAGCTCTGAAAATATACAACACTCATTTTGATAGGAGCATGGTCTCACTTTAGCCAATAAGGGTGTTTATTTGGAATAAAAAGTTAAAGCAATGGAGAGGTTTTTGCATGGGCGTGACTCAAAGAAAATTACCAGGTGATTCAGAAGAAAATTGTGCAAAGCTGTGTCAATCATAACAGACTTAAATTTTAATTAGATGGGTTGGTACTAATGACCCCCTCCTGATGAACTTGAAAAAAAACACTAACTTTACTTTTCCCACAAATTCTCTATAGTTTGGTAGTAGACCATGAAAACAATGATCACAAAGAAAGGATACAAGTTGTAATGAAAAACTCAGATTGTCTCTAAGTATGTTCCCATGTCTCTGACAAAGGACTTTCAGTTGACATTTTACGGAAACACTACTGATAATATTTCCATGAGAATTCAGTGCTCTTGGCCCTTATTTTAAACACAACAGGTCAGATAAATTTTCAAACTAGGAGAGCATTCCTTTTATGTCACATTTTCAAGAATTCTGAGGAATTTTAGACGGAAATAACAGGTACTGCATGAAAACGAGAACATGAAGGATTGCCTATGACCTTAGATGAGATAAAGCATGATATACTTACATTTTACTGTAACCCGAATAGACATTGCCAAATCCTTTGGACCTTGGGCCCAGTTCCTCTTCTTGAATACAATATCTCAACCGGCTGTCTCCCTTGCCTTGATCAACAACTTCAGGAGCTCTCCAGTACAGCTCTATGCTGTTATGAGTCACCTTACCAACAATGGGTGGATCAGGACGAGGAGGAACAGACATATTTACTGATAACTGCAGATCCTGTGTTTCTGTCATTGTGAAAGATTAGGGCAAAATGAAGACAATTCAGCATAATCAATTATACATATATAATGTTTTTATTCAAACACACCAATTTAATAATATACAAAAATTTTAATTGCTTCATTTTGATCATACCAATAAATTTCTGCAACCTGATTTTTTTCTTCAAAACCAATTTCAGAATTCATTCACTTGAATTAAATTGTAATTTCAAGATCATGAAGTTTTACCTGTGGAAAAAAGCCATAGGATTGTTAGTTCATTTGTGGGCATATTGTTTATTGTTTTAGGGAAATTTAGAATCTTTCAGTTGAACCTCTAAAAACACTTCTCAAGGAATACAAAACTAGAATATTCTGACTACTTCTATGAAAAAAAAACAAACATGGTTCTTAATTATTAAAAACTTTCCACATTTAGCAATAACAATATTTTTTTACCCAGGAGAGACCAAAAAGGATTTTCTCCTTTCAATATTGTTACCTTTTGAGCAGAATGGTGTTGAGAAGAAAGAAAAATATCAGCTTTGGGATATTGTTTGATTCAGCGCTAAATTCTCAAAGCCATCATCACAAAAAATTTAAAGCAGACAGTGTGGAGAAATGGCATTCAGATCTTGGGATTGAAAGGGTGAAATTGTTTTCAGATACATTGGAAACCCAACATATGACCACCCACGGGATGCAACCACCTCATTAGATCATTAATTCAAAATCAAATTGTAAACAATTAATTCTTTCTGTTCCATCATAATTAAAATTTAGCAATCTGTCATTACAACCAAATTTTAAATGTCCTACACAGATCATATTAACTATGTTTAGATTTGTTACACAAGTAGTCCAATGTGTAATTTTCCAGAGGTTTCAATAAGTTTTGAAGTAGACAAGAAGTGGTTTGTTTTTTACCATAAGTTTGTTAATTGCAGAGAAAATAGACAGCTATTTTGCTTCACATAGACAATTTTTGCCAGTTACTAATTCCTGTTGAAACCCCTGACTTTCTACATAAAAATTTCAAACAGTTATCATGAACATGAAATAACAGACATGTTTCATTTCTACCAATTAAAGGAAGTTTTAAAAGTTTTCACAGAATTAGTAATAAAGTTCAAATTGCATGCCTGGAAAAATATATGTTTGACTCTTCCTTAGATTCTTTTTTTTTTTTCGATCTTATACAAGAATTCCAGACCAGATCGTTCTGTGACACAGAAAAGGTGATTGAATCTTTCATCTAATGCAATGCTAAAACCTGATTGGATAGCAAAGTGAAATTATAGATTTCATTTACAAGCAAAAAAGCCTTTCTGCATTTTTTTGGCTAATTATCACATATGTCCTCATTAAAAACTTGAAAAAAGAATCAATTAAAACAAGTCAAAGATGTCATGAACAAAATCAAGAACCAGTGATAAAAACAGACAGTTTGCAAATTAAATTAGCTGCAAACAGTGAGGCTTCATTAACACTTTGCCTCCCAACACAACAATTGATCTAAAAGCAAAGATGTGCAAACTTCACCACAGAAAATTACAGACAATTTCTACCATTTTAGAGTAAACTGCAGTAGCTGATATATTTTTATTAACAATCTTTTAAAATTGGTTACATTTGTCATTTCAGACATCTGAATGTGCAAGATATCTGCTGCATGTAATAAAAAATGGTGATTATTTTACCAATTGTTAATCACGTTTTTTTATCCACTTAAGAATGCAATAAAAGTTCGAAATTAATTTTCAAATAAAATAGGATGACGTATGACAGCTCAGTATTGTGAAAAAAACATACAGTTAATATGGGCTGCAATGCCTTGAACAAAACTAATTTCGCAGTTTAATTAAAGGTGATTGTAATGTTGGTGTTGCTAATACTATTTAAAATGAATGCATATAGTTGAATCGTTCGATATCTTCTTAAAAATCTAAGGCTTGCTTTTTTAAAAGCCAAAGATGGGACAGTTCGCAATAGCGTAGTGCGTATACGAGGATCCAATGCTCACTACGACAATTTAAACTAATACAAGGTACTGCGACCATTGCAAATGATAATGCATACAATCGAACAACAGCAAAAATAACAATAACAATAAGCTGATAGGGAAAGGTGTTAATTATCTAATATTATGATCTCTCAAATAGGAAAAAATCAATTTTGAGCTAACCACAACTACAACATAACGGCGACTCACTTGAACAGGGTTTGGTGTTAAACTCCAAACACTCACTGATAGGAGCTGGCTTGACTCCTTTGGAAATTAAAGTATGTTTTAGATTTTTTGGGGAAACACTTTACTATCAAAAAAAAATTAATCAGAGCAAAATCCCAACGTACAAAAATCTTAAACATAAACTTGAGACGTGCTTGAATGCACGCGAAGTTACACAAACATTTTATGTCAAAAAACGAGCAACTTCACGTTAATACCCGCGAACGACGACCCTATACGATCAAATATTCAACTAAATGCACTCTTAAAAGAACTGTATAAAATCAAAGGAACATCACACCTCAACAAGCAACACATCTCGCGAATGACCTAGAATTTTGCACTTTACAAAATAGCATCGTAATTCGTTTCTCGCCAACAGAGCAAAAACATATTTATAAACTAACCTCCACTATTTTAGAAAAATATTTCTTTCGTCTTCTAGGGTTCTTCTTGTAAAGATAACTGGAAGCCGAGAGGTAAATTGGTGACCTTGCACTGATCACATCTCAATCCAAACAACTTGGCACAAGCACCTGGCATCGTCTCCAAGGTAGAATAACAACAAATTACTTGGGGGAGGGTTCTCAGTTTTTAATTGTTGTGGAATCATATCTATTTCTAAGTAAATTGCAAATCGCCCCAAAATTTTTGTAAATTTTCCGAAAATATTTCTCAAATCATAATTATTTAAGACGGTGGAAAGTTAAAAATACAAAACAAAGCCCTTAAAAGCGATAACTTAGCTATTTCTTTCACTTCCCGCGGCCTCCCCTCTTAGTGAAAGAGACAACAGTACGCTGATAAATCGTGGGCTCCACTTTTGACTAGAATGAACTAACTCTGAAGGACTCTTTGAAGTTCTCTTCTAGTAATATTTCTGCCTTTAATCAACTGCATTATGGCCGTGTTAGACAGAGTTCTTCGCGTACTAGACGCTCTAGGCCTCTTTCTTATCACTCGCTTTCCATTCATAGAGCTGTTTGTCCTTTTGATGTCCACCGGAGAGGAGGCCGAAAATTTGCCAGGGGCGCGCACGTTGACCTTCAGAGACACTTTACGGCGGGAATATCTACTTGTGTACATCAACGCTTTAATTTTCTTCGTTTGTGGAACAGGCATGACTCTGGACTTGAAGAGAAGGAAATGTGGCCTGGCTGCTGCTTTGCATGTAGTAGTATACACGGGGGTAACTCTATATCAACTCAAAAAATCTTCAGAATATTTGATCGTAAGTCAGTAATTTTGTTCTTCATTTGTCTGATACGGTTACCTTTCCGGTGACCTTCGATTTTTTTTCTTGTTACCATGAAAGCTTCTGATTATATGTTTTTTACTTGATGAAAAGCCCTCTTTGAAATCAAGGAAAGTTATCTGATATGTACCCAACACCCTTATGTAAATTCGTGGGCTGAAGATCAACATATGTTTACAAATTTAATTAACTCGCCCTGAAGTCAAAGAATGAAGGGGCTCGGGAGGTTTTCTCCTAAAAGCATGTTTATATTATCCTTAGCTAGTGTGGTTGTGCAAAAAATCTGATCTAGCACAGAGTATCCATTACTGAAGTATTAGATTAAAAACATGTGAAAGCTTCATGAAATCAGTAGGCATTAAGGGCTATTCACAGGGAATTTTTTGTTTCGAGGTTTTCATGCATTAACCCTTAAACCGCCTTGAGCAACCAAGACAGAATTTCTCCTTACAGTATCAATACACTATTACGCAAACAAATGGTGAGAATGAACTTAAGAATAATATAAATCAGGGGATTATTTGTTGATCTTGTACCAAATTCTTGGAACCAAAATCACAAGAATTGTATGACAGACAGTAAGGAGAGTTACAAAGAGATCTTGAGAGTAAAGGGATTAACCTGTAGTTTACAGTGGTACCTCATGATGTTTTCCTTTGTTCCAATTGGCTATTGTGATTGTATTTGTTTTCATGTTTCCACAGTCATCCTAAATCAGGCTAAATTGAATCTAACAATTATTTGTTTCTTTAAATAGGTCAGAATGGCAGCCAGATCTGCTGCAGTATGTGGAGGTTACCTATTTGTTGCTGCAGGCCTCACAGACAGTCAGCGAGGCCAGGCCAAGGTGTTTCAAGCTCTAAAAGTTTCTCGACAAATCCTTGCATTTTATCTCTTCTGCAATGCTTATATGGTGTGGGCCAGTGAAGAAGATCGTCTAGCACACATTAAGAATATTCCTGGTGGTCAGTTTATGATTGTCATGGTTATTGCACTGTATGTAATTCCTGCACTTAGTATCTATGCAGGGTATGAAGCAGGTTATTTTGCACGCATTGTTGTATGGCACTTGGTAGTTGTGTCAGCTTTAGTGGATTTTAACACAAAGTACTGGCGCAGAAGTTCAAGTCATGTTGCATTTTGGGTTCAAATCCAACATGCTGCAAGGAACCTGGCTGTCATAGGATCACTGCTTCTCTTAGGAAGGAAAAGATATTGGTGAGGAGCTGAGGAGTTGGTGCTAAATTGTGGGAGAAATGTGGCTAGAAAGGGATACAGATCTTCATGTCATGGAATTCTGTGACATCACTGCAAACATAAGAGCAAAGTTTTTGAACACTCAGAATGAATCAAGTTGTCAGAGTTACAGGACAGGGTACTGGAAAAATGAATACAGAAACTTTGTCTCACAACTCATCAAGGGAATCACAATAAAATACAATGCTTATGAACATTTCCTTGTTGCATATTGTTATTTTTCCACATGTTTAAGTCCTTTCTGAACTCAGTTGACTGGGATCCCTTTACGCAGGTCATGGGAAACACACCTTACTCTCACACTCAGTAACTCTCTCCAGCGTGAATTTTTGAATGATGATCTGCAATCTGTCAGGTCAACTCAACAAAATGCAGAAGTTGGAGAGGGGACAGCCAGGGCTTGGCCAATAGGAAACCATCTGTGAGGGTTGACAAATCTCCTAATTGCTTTGTAGTGAGGGTTGCTTGTCTGATGGCAAATACTTAAATGAAGATTAATGACTCCTTACCTTTTCTGTAACTTCCACAGCAAGGATTTATTACCCCATAGCTGTTTGTTATTAACTCTTTCCACCCTAACACCAGTATGCACATTCTCCATACTGTTTCTATACATTTTCCCAAGGTGCTGACAAGTAGAATTTGTTTAACAATGAGAGCTTATTTAGATGCATGGTGACCATTTCTGTTATTTTTTATGACCTTAATGTTTTTATGTCTGAATGGTAGGCACCAGTCACTCTCTGGGGTCAAAGGGTTATAGAGGTCAAAGGGATTCCCTTTCAGTATGTGAAGTATCCAAGATAAATTTCCTAGCTAGTACACTTCTCTGGCTTCATATTGATACCCCAAGCCTCATTTCATATGGTCATGGAGAATACACAGTTATTAATTAAAATGTTTCTCCAGCTTCAATCCTTGATGAAAACCTTGCCATTATAATAAATAATCATCAAAACCAACCATTTCAAAGAATTTTTTTTATTACTGCATGTGCTACAATACTAAATCTACAAATTCAGAAAATATTATTTTTACAATTCTAAAATAGCCTGTATGGCAGGCACTTGCCAAGAAACTAAGAAAAACATGCACAAGAGAGCAATCATGCAAGAGTTCTCCTTCTGTAGTGTGCCCATGAATCATGTCCTTTTAATTGAGTACTTATCATAACAACACTATCCAGCAAAAGTGCTGAGAGTAGAGTAACTGATCAACCAGAAGAATTGAGAATGGAAACTACCCAGGCTGACATTACAGATTTGAAAAATTTGCATAAACTGTTAGATTGAGAAATTTTACTTCAATTTACAATATACTTTGAGTTTGAGTTTGACTTAGATGTCACTTCACTGAGTTATTTTTAAGCAATAACAATTGATTTCTGAGCACTAATTTGAATTATGAACATAAAAATGAAGGCATTGATTTACAGGAAAGTTCACCAAATTCTCACTTTCGTCTTCGCGATCTTGTTCTTCTGGAGACTGAATCATTTTGTGGTTCCCTAACTGCCTTGTTGTTAGAAGCCAGCTTTTTGGTATCCTGTGAAACAAAGGTAGCAGCAAGGCAAGGCTTTTAGGTAAAGTAAAGGTAACAATAAAATGAGAATATGTACAAAGTCACTAAAGATACCCACAGAGTTATTTACATCAATTTAAATAAAAGGTTTCTTCCCTAGCTTTCACTCCCAAGATCACACGAGTGATTCTCTTTACTGTCTGCCCTACAATTCTTATGATGTTAGATCAGATAATTTGGTATTAGATCAACTAATAATTCCCTCATTGATATTTTTCTTAAATCTCATCACTTGTCTGTTTGATATTATATTGATATTGTAATGAGAAATTCTGTCTTGGTCACCCATGGGAGTAAAGTGCTTAAAGCCTCAACACAGTGGTTTCAAGTCCTGGAACAAGTCATGAACTAATGACAGGTCATATTGTGTGGTGCTGAGGAGTTTTGTAACAAAATTTAAACTAGTTTGAATGTTGCCACTGGTTCTAGCAACAAATTTTTTTTTAGATAAAATTCTTTAGTGTTTACTATACATGTCCATTTCATTACTTAATGGCTGGTTATCAAAGCATTTTCCTAAAGATCATGCAGTAAATACTGGCAGTCAATTAAACTTACTGGGGATTTGATATTCCATGTCCTTGGTTTTGGAGGCCTGTAAAATTAAGTTTAAAATAATTGTGTGAATCATGAAAAAGTATACAGTAAACATCGAGGTATGTTGGGTTAGCACTGTACCATAGGCAGCATTTAGTATGTGAATTTTGTGGTTCTAACTACAGTCTTGTAATGGAAATAAATCTTTTAAAGTTGACAGCAATGACTTCCAGAGCTTATTCAAACAAGTTTTGACAAAAGGAAGTAGTCAAGTATTACAGGAATCTACAGGCATAGGATACTATGTAAGGTTTTCAACACTTAGCCCACACCCAAGGTATTCTGACAAATCGCTGGTGCTCTCTTGCCTGGTAACCAGAGTAAGTACTATACATATTCCATGTCATTTTAACATCATATTAATGTATTATAATTATTACTGACTTATTTCTCTTTCATCTTACTTTTGCTCAGGCGACATCAAACAGATAATTTGCTGTTCCTTTTCCTCTTCATCTCCATCATTACCTTCATCAACCTTGCCTTCTATCCAGCTGGGTGGGGCAACTGAAATAAACAGGATAAAATGAAGCAACCAGCACATAAAAATTCTTTGTCTATTACAATTTGTATTCTCCTGTTAATTTACACTAAGCTCTTTCTGCTACATTTCTTAACCCTTTAACTCCCAAGATCTGATTGTTAATTCTCCTCTCCTGCTACTACACATTACCTTGTTAATTAGTTTTGAGAATTTGGTGTTGGAGCAAGATAACATCTCCTGCCTGATTAATTTGTGTATTCTTAATAACTGTTTGTTGGATAATGTATCAATATTTTAAGGAGAAGTTACATGTTAATCACTTCTGGGAGTCAAAGGATTAAAAAAATTCTTCTATTTCATCCCAGTTTCTTGAAACTTTATGTGCTAACTTTCATGCATCATTTCAGTGTATAATTCTAAACTGCATGTTTCTGGTCTTTTATGGCCTCTGATGAGTGCTGCCCTCTGGTAGTAATCTACTTCCAAAGCAAAGACTAATCTGTTCCAACTATATCACAATCTTACAAGCTAACAGTTTCTGTGACTTAATATATAACATTCAGGCATCTCTTTGTAAGTGATTAACATGTAACTTCTCCCTATAATATCCATACATTACCCAGCAAACAGGTAACGAGAATTGGGTTGACAAGTTGCTAACTTGATCTACCAGAAACACCACATTCTGGTAACTAATTTACAAGGAAATGTGTAGCTGCTAGAGGGGAGAATTAACAATCAGATCTTTGGAGTTAAAAGGTTAAACAAGGAAAAGAGAGAGAGAATGTAACTTGTCACTAACTTTGTCATCTGATTTCCTACTATCGACTTTTACAAAGCTATTTGTTAGTTCTTAGATGTTTGAATTAACTTTGCTCTAGAAAGACTACTTAAACAATTAAATCCAAAGGTGAACACCATTCAAATTCTCCTCAAAAAATTGATACACCCTCATGCTGATAGGAAATGAAAATTAAGACAATCATCAACCAGATAATATCACTTGGATGAATGTAACACTAAATACTCTCTACCAACAAACAAAGAAATGTGTGGTCATCAATTATGAAAATTTGCTTTCAAGTCTTTACAGTAGGAGGATTGAAAAAAGTTCTGAAGAAAACTATTCTTACTAATACAGTCAGCATGCTAGACCAACCTTTGCCTTGTGCATAAACTCGGATTGGTAATGATGTTGGTATGGGAGATGGTGGTGGTGCAGTCGCACTTGTGTTCACACAAAATGAAATCCTTGATAAATGACTTTGTTCACCTACAATAAATGGAATAAAAAGATCAAAAGATAAATCCACCGAGACAAACAAACAAATTCCAGTTCTGGTCAAATGTATCATGTACAACTATAACCAAATACCATATTTATTTGCCTATAAACCAAGCAATTTTTTTGGACCTTTAACTCAGTTAGGAGAAGTATATCCAAAGAATGAGTTTCACTCAGATCGTCATTAAGGAATTGAATTGTACAAATTTCCAAAGAAAGATGCTTTCAAAAGATTACTTCCAATTAAAAGGTGAACTCCTTCTGAGAAACTTGGGTCTTGGCTTATATATGCAAAAATTTTTCAGAATATTTAACAAGCTTACACTCATCGTCCAGTCTCTCAAGTTTGGTGTCTTGGCTTAAAGCTATGCTTGGCTTATAGGTGAACAAATACAGGAATTCATTTGTCAAGTGCCTAGTTCAAAATCTTTGCCAAAATACCAACCACTCACCTTCTGGAGTGCTGGCTGCACGCTCTTCATTCTCCCTGTAAAAGACCCTGGAATTAGTGGGCTTAAGAGGTGTGCGCTGCTCTGGTGCATCTGTAACAGCACTATTCTCATGAGGACTACCCATTGAGCTGATACTCCTCCTTTTTTGTTGTTCTGCAACCTTATGAGCTTGATCCACAGCTTTGCGAGCAGAATTTAAAATAGCTGCAGTGGAGAGGGTATATCGGCGCTTTGCTCGCAGCGGACTGATCTGAACAGTAAGGTTGGATTTGAGAGCATTGTTTATCAGAATGGGGTTAGAAGCCAGGGTGTGTCGTCGATTGATCTGCAGCTGGTTTATAGCACCAGTAAGAGGTGTGATGTTAGGCCTGTTGGATCCTGTGGTAAAATCCACAATCACATGATTAATTTAATGGTTCATTCCATATTGGTTTGCTATCTCAGTTCTGTTTTGCAACCAGCACTTAGCTAATTCACACTTGCAGTACGGCAATAGTACCAGTAAATGATTACTGCAATCCCTTTATGCACAGTAATTAAGAAGAATTATTGAGCCTATGTGATAATTGTATCAGTCACTTCAGCCTCCAGAGATATGACAAACCTCCATCTTGATAATTCTTGCATAAAAATAATGATTATTGTAATCAAAACTGACAGCTGACAACAGTATCCAAATGTACTGGTAGTCCATGATGTTAAGAACAACTACACAATATTTTTAGCAGAAAATTGTGGTTTCTGATTTTTATATAAGCTTTTACCATTTTTAGGTGAGGGTGTTGCACTTCGCAGCTGAGGAGCAATGAAGTCTGCTGCTTGAGGAGGAGTGTTTCCATCTGAACCAGGCTGTCTTGTGTTGACCTTATATTCATCATGGCAAAAATGAATAATTAACAACTACTCACTGAGATGGAGAACGGCATGTACTAAAACAGTGAATAAAGCGTCGAGGGCACACTCATATTGGCTTCTCAAGCTCCGAATATCCTTTGCTATTCACCTCTGAGCAATGAGCATCAGATTTGCAATCTGATTGTAATTGTTGCAGGAATAAATGAGTTAAAATCATCTTCTTGTACTATATCATCTTACAGTCTTAGTATGTACTAAAACAACTACTAACCTAAGTGTTAGGGGGCTAGTGATGGATGTTTATCTTGCTGTTTTGCAGCTCAGTAAATATCCAATACTAGCCACCTCTACTTCTGTGAATAGTTATTAAGTAGCAACTAACAAAAAAAAACCCTGCACTTGAAAAGATGAGAAGAACAGAATATAAAATGACTGAAACAAAAAACTTGAACACTGGAATTGTTAGTAGGGAAACTTAAAAAATGAAAACAGATGAATTTCAACTTGTTTGTTTTAAGTAATTCCATATTCAACAAAACCCTTCATTTATTTTGTATCTCATGACTGTGGAGACTAGAACTTCACCCAAAAAAGCCCTATCATTTCCTGAGTGTGTAAACATTCATACCTGAGGAGAATTGTTTGGAGTGATTTGCTTTCGTCTTTGTTCCTCGCGTTCTTTCTGCTGTTCCTCAAACCTTTTGAGATCAAACTCAATTTCATTGGCGAGCTGTTTGTCAGCTGACAGCACTTCCTGTACCTCAGATCTGTAATCCTTCATCACTTCTTTTAAACAGGACATCAGGTCCTTGAGCAAAGGGGAATGCTGCTTTTCAAGCTTTCATAAAACAACAAAACATTACATGATAAGAACAGTCAAACCCAAATTAGGCAGTCACCCTGTGTTACCTGGTAAAAGGTGGTATCAAAGTCCTCTTTCCCATAACCACTTTAATTTAAGCTGTATCAAATGGTCACCTAAAGAGGAGACACTGAAATAAAACTAAGAATAATCTTTCAAGTCAATTGATTTCATGTTTATCTCTTGTAATCAGTGTTGGTACTTTGAGTTCAAATGTCAACACATTGCAGATTAACAAGATTATTTGGTTTTCTTAGCTAAATTGACAATTTAAATTGGCCACTGTTAAGACAGTTTCAAGGCTGACATTTGAGCTTCAGCCCTTCGTCAGAGCAAAAGATCAAAAATTCACATTATTCTGATTTTCTTAGGAATTATCTCTTGTTTAAACTGCCAGCCATCACTATATGATTTTCCAGTCAAGTTGCATCGAAAAAAACTGGATTAAGAGAGAAAATAACATTAAAGACTGTTTTTCTTCCCTTAAAGTTTCAAGGCAAGAACCCAGCTACTTCCTCTTACTTAATGCCAATTAACCACTTAGAAAAACAAGAAATGTAGCACTGCATGATTATGAAATTGACTGGGTTCGCACAAGAAATTTAAACTCATAATGCTATGAAATCACTAGTTAAAGGGTTAAAGAAGTAGAGATCTTCATGAGGAACTCACCATGTGTTTAAGCTCAATGATGATGGGTATAATATTCTCAATCATGTTCTTCTTTAGAACCTGAAGGGAAACAAAGCAAAATCAATGTGAGAATTACAATTATGTGTTATATTTACCAAGGAAACCTCTCAGAATAAATTATCAAAAGTAATATGTGCATGGACAGTCACCTGGGTGAGAAATTTGTTCCTGGCTTCAACTATAGCAGCTCCTGCCACATCCCCCTCATCAGCAAGATCTTCAGCCGCTTTAGCTTTCATTGAGGACAGTTTAATGTTCTACAATCAAGACACAGTATTACAACGTGACTTTTGACTTTCTTCATAGCTTCAACAAAGTCTTAGAGACTACAAATAGCAAGACACAGCTGGGGAAGGATGTTAAGCTGGTGAGAAGTAACTGTTACCTTGCTGCTCAAAATTAAAAGAGCATCTTTGAGGACAGAAGCTGAATCTGGATCCAAGGTAATATCACCATCAGTAAAACCACCCAGTACCTATCAGAGGAAAAAAAGCACACAAAACCATGTCTGGGCTGATAAAATATGAGAGGAGAGATTCATGGAAAGAAAAATTGAAAGTAAAAGCTGACTATCTCATGACAGGAATATGTCACACCTCTTGACAAAGCTTTCCAGTGAGGTTGAATCGGCCTTCATCACTCATGTGGGACAGCATAAATTGATAAATTGTATAGCGTTTCCTGAAAAGATGGGAGTCTTTATCAAGAAATGTAGCAGTAGTAACAGAGGATTATGCTCCACATTGGAATAAAAAAGAGCCCATGCCATCAATATTAAGCTGGAGAATTCTTATTGCATGGTGGCCAAAAGATTCTACAATCTTCATTGGCCAACAAATACCCTTGAAAATACCATTATTTAAAGTTTTATCCTCACAGTCCTGCTCTATCAGATTTTGTGTGCAAATTCAAATACTTTCAAGACTTTTTCCAAATTCATGTTGAACTTCTTACTTTTCAGATTCTGAAGTCCTCATTCAATTTCATAACTCAGGTCACTTGGCCTCAGTGAGCAGAATATCTAATTTAGTTGTTGAGAGACTGTTCAAAAATTAACAAATTTTCTGATTCATTCAATAATTTTACAAGGTAATTTAATTGATTATGCAGAGTAATTTAACAATTTTAACTTTGGCTACCTTTATTCAAGATTTAAGATCTGATCTAGGAATTAAGTAATAATTAATGTATCAGAAAAATCCATTTTAAATACTATCCAAATTTCAAGACTGTGCATGTCAATGGGTCTTGAAAATTAGTGTAAGGATAAAAAAATCACAAAAATTGTTTAACCCACCCTGAATTTTGATATCCTTTAAGAGAAAACAGTTTCTTCTCCATGTCTGTCTGTGGGAACTTGTTATATACTGAAGGTGTTTAAAAGATTCCAAAGAAACTGATTACTGTTGGTTCAAATAATTTGCAAAATGCCTCCCCATCCTCTTGAGAAACGCATTAAAAAAATCAAGATCTTTCTTTAAATGATGGCTTATTCACAGAAGCCACTGTGTAATATGAGGTTTTCCTAACAAGTGATGCTGAAAAACAAAAACTGCTAAGAAAGCTGAACTCTTTAACAAGCATTACTTTGCAAAAAAAATGTGAAAATCAGTAAAGCAAAGATAATGTTTTTTAAATTCATTTGGTTGCACTCCCAAAAATTAGACTTAGTCAGAGTAAAAAAGTATGATGCAAGGTTGTTCTAAGCTATTTTCTCAAGTCTGGTCTTTGATTCTGACAGACTTCAGGGAGAAGGAGGGGAGGGAGGGGGCAGGGAGTGCACTCTTGCTTTTCTGACCAGCTGCCAGCAAACAAACCTAAGTTGTTTAACATTCTTAATGCATTCTATCTATGATGTACCTTGGTGTTTTTCAAAGGAGTTAAAGTGGAACACACACTCCACAAAATGCTGGAAAAGCATGCCTGGATGTCTGCTCAAAAGTAGGTGCACAAGGCAAAATTCAGCTGCAAAGAAAAGAGGGGCAGTAATCAGCAAATAATCACTGGTGCTTCTCCTTTACACCCTACTATCAGTATGCATATTCTCCATACTGTTCTCTGTATTCTTCCTAAGGGGCTGACAAGGAGAACTTGTTTAACAATCAAGAGCCTCTTTAATTGGCCATTCTTTCCATCCATTTATTCAATGTGCTATCAGCAGGTCACATACAGTGTAAATGAATTGATGGAGGGATAGTCCCTTGATGTAATGTGGGGAAGAATTGATTTTCTTACACACCCCAAAACAGCTTGTTGTACAATTTGATTTAACATGTAATATTCTAACAATCTGAAAAAAAAAACCAAGTGTGTGAAATGCACTAAACACTTCCCACATCTTCAACATTAAATAAATATTAGAAAACAATGAAAAGAAGGAAAAAGAAAAAGTACAACTTCACTCTCAAACCAACTTGAGATTGCAAGACTGAAATATTATTGATAGCAACTTTCATCATGAAGATCAATGCTAAGAAAAGATGATTGGAATGAGGTCCAATTTACTTGACATTTTATGACTTCTTTCAAAGGCAAGTAAATTATTATTTTCCCTGACCTTGAGGGAATGTCTTTCTCCCCTTACCATTCCCAACCACTCCCTGACATGTGGCATCCATAGTGCCTTACCATTGTACAGCTCAGATATGACTAAATCTTAATTCACAGAAAATTAATAAAAGTAAACAAACCAAATTTCCTTATCTCCTGGTCTTCGTCAACAATTGTTGTGATGAAGCGGTAAAACAAGGCACCTTTCCATTTGACAAAGTCCTCCTATAATGAAAATCCATATATAGTTTTGGATATACAAGAGAATATGATAATTATCATTATTTTATCATCAAACACCATTTGACAGCAAAAGCATGTTTAAGTGTTGTATATCAAATATTGCATTTAAGTGCAACAGTCTCTTTCATAATGTGATGGAAAAAGACATTGACACTACATGGTATCTACACATGTCGCATGAAATATTTTAATGTTTTTCACACTCAGTTAAATTTTATTTTAGTATAAGTTTCCATTAATCATTCACAGTAAAACAAAATGCTAGTAGAAAAAGCGTTTTACCTGAAGTAAGTGGGTTAACACAGTCAGTGTCTGTCTCCTCACAAGTGATGAGCTGTCTTTCAGACAAACAGCTATATTTGGAACATACCGATCAACAAGGCTGGTAAATCTGAAAAAGAAGTACAACTTTCAAATTTGTATGATAAAAATGGTTCTGTTGTGGCCTCCGAGATGAGAACCCTGCATTTACTGACAGTAGATTACAAGTGAAAACAGCCGCTTCTAATAATTTGTTGGAAGCAGGGAAGGAAAGGGTACATTAGTAATAAATGTAAGTGTCAAAAGATATTCTAGCACTCCAATAATATTATAACAATGTTAATGTACCTCACACACAAGTCACACATCACCACTGTCACATTATTCCTAATGGCTGGGTCATCAGAAGTTTCTAACTCCCTTGCAAGAGTAGCAATGCACTGTTTGGCCAAATCTTCATTCTGAAGACACAGTTTTCCTGACAAGGACAAAAACAGCTCTGTTGTGATGCATTAGTTTTAATGGAGCCATAAAAATAAAGTATGTCCTTACATCCCCTGCAGTAAGCCCCAGCTCACCAAAAGCTGCAATCTTGAACAGCAAAAGTACAAAGGACTTTTCCAACAACCCTACTTACCTGTTAGCAGTAGTAAAAGCTGGTCTGTGATCTTTCTAAATTGGTACAAATTTAATGGATGGCTTGAGATGGAACTTACCCAGAGTCACAAATACATGAGCCTTTACAGGTGGTGATAGATTTAGTTTTTGAAGAGGATCTGAGGAAACAAAAGTTAATATTACAGCCAATAAGCCTCATGAATAAAAATGCTGAATAATTAAATTTTGTGGAGAGATCAGAAATTAAGTTTGAGAGAAAATGGGGGGGGGGGGCAGGGAAACATTTTCATTCCATCATTAAAGCCTGTTCATAATTTTGAGCCCTGTCTAATAGCCAGGTGTGTTCTCTAAAAAGGGGAGGGGAAAGAGGTTAGTAAGTAGCTATTTTAGTAAAAAAAAAGCACAGCTTTTGCCATTGAATTTCAGTGACCATTCCTGACATTTTCTAATCTCAACTCTCCACAATGTGAACCAGGTTTAAATTTGAAGGATGATGTCTATGTCCTAAGATGAACACTAATACAGCTGGATCATGTGTAGTTAAGGCACCTGTCAGTAGAGTATCAGCTGATACTATCAGTCCACATGTTGACCAAGAATTGGTCAATGCTCAGTTGAGATGTTGACTAATTAATAGTTGGCTGACTGTTGGTCACAATGTTATTCAACTAGGTAGACCCTCCCTTGCTACTACTGGTTGATACTGGGTTGGCATGATGGTCAACACTTGGCCAAACTTTGACTGTTACACTGTGATCAACAGTTGGCAGCATATCAGTCGAGCATGCAGCACTGTATTGCATGGTGGACTGTTGGTGGTATGTGTGTATTGTTAACTGTTGTTTTGCTGGAATGGCAGCCATCTCTTATCCCCTTTCCGTTATGCAGAGGGGACACAAAGAAGAGTTTTGAGGGGCTAGTAAAGAAGATAGAGCTCAGTAACAAGAGCCCACCGAGTGGCAGAAGTGTCAGCCTAGTGTGGATTAAGTATCAGCTAAGTGTCAGCTGAGTGTCTGTGTATATGTGCTGATAGAGTCTTTTCTGACATGTATGTCAGTCAAGATGCGGCTGATGCTGGTCAACATGTCCACTAATACACAGTTGATATGTCAGTCCAGTATTGCCTCATATATTGACCCACATTTGGTCTACATGTCAACCAATAGTATCAACCACTATATGACTGATGCATATGCTTTAAGTATACATGATCCATATAGCCAGGGCTAAAAGCTCGTTTTTTCAAAACGTCACCTTACGACATCCCTCAATCATACAATGGTTGCCATTAAAAAATCTAGTTGATTAGAGTAATAAGAAAATAAAAAAAAAAGATCTTCAGAGGTAATACTGATGAAATGTAGGGCAAATAAAGCAGATAATTGATATTTAGGTCTTGAAAGGGAAAGAGCCAACAGAAATAAAATTTTCACATTTACAATTCACATTGATTAGGTAACATCTGAACCTGTTTCCAAGCCCTTTTCTTTGTTTCTAAATAGAGAGGATGATTATTCAATACCAACCTTGATTATTGCCATGAGAAATCAGCATGGATTCCACAAACATAAACAGTCGCTCTGTTGTCTTGGTTGGTGTTAGCTATGAGCAATTTTTACAAAAAAACCTTGTTGAAGCCATTGTCACATCAATCTAATAATTTGCATACTTTTTGTGCAAATTTCTATCTACAGCAAAAGATTGAAGGAAATCTGCCCTCTAGATCAACATGTTAGAATCGGTCGGTTTGGCATAACATCATATTGCTTCAAAAATTTCACAAGGAGCTCGTGAGAAACTCAAACAAGATTTGCATTTTAAATGGCATGGTAGCAGTGGATGATTTTGGGCCTTACAAATTTAAAGAGAACATATTAAAAGTACTTGTATCAATGTTAGTAATATCACTGTGGGATCACTGAATGATCTAAAAGTACTTTAATCAAGTAACACGACTGTACCAGCTTATTAGAAAGTTGATCAATGAATAAAGACAGAATCTAGAAAGCAATTATTAAAGAGTGTCTCCACTTAATGAATACACAACAATAAGCAAGAAGAATTTTGAGCAAATCTCAACTGAAACATGGAGAAGATTACCAGTACCAAAGATAATGTCAGCACTCTGAAGTATCATGATCATGATCTCTGTTACAAACCTGGGCTACAGCTCCAACAGTAAACAAATGCCGCATAAGACGCTCCTCATCAATACAATCCTGTTTTAATGTTACACTGGAAAGAAATTCCTCTGATGCTTTCAGTAGATCAGAACACCAATGATCACTCTTTCCCTTTGAAAACAATAATTTACAAATAATTCTGGCAATCTGTTGTAACTGGTGCATCAAAAACTAGTTTCAGTTTCCTAATGAAAAATCAGGCCATCTAACAAAAGTTACATTTACACTGGAAAGTTCTGAAGGCAAAAAAATGTGGAATTTTAGGATTTAGCAGCCCTTTTTTATTTTTCTGTTGGAGGGGAATGGTTACCTCCAGGCATCAAAGGAGGTAGCAGTATGGCCGAGAGGCTATGGTACTTGGCTTGTAATCTGGTATAGTCCATTACAACTTGTTATGATACAACCCTTGCTGCTTTTCAAATAAGAATTACTTTGTTGTCATGCTAAGAAGTTACTGGTCTCTATCACAACAAGGTCACCTTCAACCTCACTAAAAATCAAATGCTTGGCAACTAAGTACACAACTGTAAAATGGCCGATTTCCTGGCTATTTGCTTTGTATATAGCCAACTGGTCTACCTCCTGCCATTTGGGATTTTTAAAAAATCAATTCTTTTTATTCATTCATTTGTAATGCACTAAAAAGCTCCATTGGGAAGAGTTTGATTAAGTAGCATACATATGCACACATGAAAACTTTACCAAATGAAAGACTTGTCAAGAGTGAAAAGAACTAATAAAAGTTAACACTTCAAAACCCTTTTAAAGAAGATACTTTTTTTGAAATATCATTCCATAACTTTACAAAAGACTATGGCTCACCCTTTCCTCTGGCAGTTGTCCTTTATTGAGCTGCAAAACATTAAACAAGGATTAAGATTTCTTTAAGCATGCCATTGTTTTTAGTTGGGCTTAGAGGAAACATCAACCTTCACATGCATCAGTAGTGATGCTTATAAGAAAAACTGTTTGTTTGAAAACAAATCACAAAGGAGATTATAGAAATTGCAACTCAAAGGCATTCATCCAGAAAAAAATTCACTCAGCAGCATTAATAACTGTGGTTAGTAACAAAATGCTAATATCTCCTTCACTTTTAAAATTTCTTGACACAGTTTAAGAGTAAGAGTCTTTTTTAACATTTCTTTAACACTAATAACTCTGATGGGTGAGGCTGGGGAATTTCACAATCACAGAGGTGCTCAGCTATTCCAGGGTCTTAATGTTGCAACTAGTTGTCACTCATTTGATAATAATCAAAAACAAACTGAAATTTGAGCATTTGACATAGGCCTGAAACAGGAGATATACATGCATCACACCTTGCATAGGGTGGCTACAATAGCATCAATGACTTCAGGTGGGCACTCAAATGTGATAAGCTTCTGCTGCAGATCAGCTATAAAAAAAGCAACACAAATTTATATGAAAGTAAAGAATTGAGACAATGATGCAGCATATTTAATTAGAATATATAACCTTCCTTGTCTTCGTATCTCTGACACTAATATGACCACAGCTTGGCAACAGAAAAATACAGTTTATGTTATTTTCAAGAAATAAATGATACCTGTCAGGGTACTAGTGACTGTGGAGGGAAGAAAGGAAGCAGAGCTTCCCAACACTGCCAGGATTCTGCATAATGTCTCTATGTCATAATCTGACAAATAAAAACCAGAAAAGAGAGAAAGATGATAAAGATGTCTACTACTGAGATTGTCTCTTTTGATTTGATTGTGGAAAAATGGTTAATCAGATGGTCAGATCAACAGGATGGATTGAGAGTTGGGGATTGCTTAATAAATGTCTGAGCCTTTGAGAGTTATAGTATGTAGTATAAAACTTACATTCAGAATGGATGCAATCATGGTCAAATGGGTACATATAACACTTTCAACCCTGAGTGACCAGCATCTAATTTCTCCCTATAGCAATACTGCTGCATCATTCATTAAGATCATGTGAATAAAAGAAATGGTCAGCAACCTGAGAAGCTTTGATTGTTAAGCAAATTTTCCCTCTCAGTACCAAAGGAAATGAATAGAGAAGAGTATGGAGGATATGCACACTGATGTTCAGGTGTAGAGGGTTAAAGAAATTCTTTATTGCTATCTAAACTCAGTGCAATGTTAGTCATATAGACATTGTTGTATGGCAAGATTCTATTACATAGTTAACTGTTACACACTATTTCAAAATCAAAATGAAGTTAACTGACAGTTTAACTTGTACCTTTTACTCCTTTCGAATACTCATCCCAACTTTTCACAACAAAGGTATGGTCAAGTTTGTTTGATGATGAACCAATTGCTGCCAAGCAAAGCCATGCTGCCTGAAAATGTGTACAAGAAGAAGAATTTCAAGGAGAACAACAAACTATGCCACCCTAACAAACATTTCTGGTGTGCCATGTCCTTATGAACTTCATACCTTACTATGCTCAGTATCAATGTGAGATATAAGTGATTTGACCAGGTTTCCAGAAAGTTTGGTCTGGTTTGACCAGTGTTGAAATGCACTGTGAAGATAACGTCTGAAAGAATAATGTACAACAGCCAGTGGTCGGTATTAATAGATGTCTTTTCAAAGCAGTTTCATTTTTGTTTTTATCATAATCAGGTACAAAGGAAAATAACAAAATAAAACTGGTTTGTCAAATTTTAATCCAGGAACCAAAAATTGTTTGAACCACAACATTTACATGCTTGGAAAGAATGAAGAAGTATATGTGTTTTGTTCTGGGAATAGCCAATTTTACAGTTGTGTGCTTGGTTGCCAAGCCTTAGAACAGGAGTGAGGCTAAGGGTGACCTTGTTATGATACAAACCTTGCTGCTTTTCAAATGAAAATTACTTTGTTATCATGCTAACTAGATACTGGTCTCTATCACAACAAGGTCATCTTCAGCCTCACTCCAAATCAAAGGCTTGGCAACTAAGTGCACAACTGTAAAATGGCTTATTTGTCAGAGTGAAGCAACATTAGTAAAGATACTGGCTTAACATACTACCGGTAGTACTTCTGCTAACTGCTACTACTGACAGCTCTAAATCACTGGGTCTTTAACAGGTTTTGGAAGAACAGTGAAAAATTTCACAAGGGCAGCAATAGATAATATGTGGAAATATTTCCCAAGGTATAGGCATGCTTTACAGGGTCAGGTCACATACTGATATCATTTCATCATATCACTTGCCTGACTTCTTGTCCTGATGGGCTGGTAACAATATCAAGCAGGTCCCAAGCAAGAATGTGATATGGTCCTGTTGATCTGGAATAATAATCAACAAAATGTGTCATTGTATGTATCAATCTTATTACCTGGCAAGCATTTAGAGCCAGTTTAACCATGAGTTTCCCAAATCTCACCATTGAGATTGGCCAATGGAAAGAAATTTTAGCTCAATTACCAAGCTGGGATTTTCCAACCTATTGACAATGAAGTTCCCAAATGAACAAAAGTTCAACACCATGAGGGTATGAACCTTTAACTTGTTGTTTCACCAGAAGAACTTTCCCCTTCTGATATTCTTTGTTGCTACTGATAGCTTATGTGGCAAAAGATGTAACCAGTTCATGAACCAACCACACAACAGTTTCAGCATGCCTTTTACCACATAACAAAACTTTATGGATATTTGATTGCATTTCTTGAATTTTGGCAGAAAAAATCCTTGAAAGGCACTGCTAATTGAAGTCATAAAATTTTGACTCATCCAATCTGGGATGCTGTTGATCACAACTAACACTGTAATCTACAAACTGATTAAGTTGTAACAGCCACCTACTTTGAGAGGGGAACAATATTGTGAAGAAGCACTTCCTCCAGTATTTGAAAACACTTTTCTTGTGCAGTAGTTTCTCTGTCCATAACAAGTGGCAACACTCCTTCCAGCCACAAACTACATATAAGAAAATACAATAAGAGTACAGTTTGAGTTTTTAAAGGAACTTATACAAGTGTTTTATTGATACAATTAATTCCAGATATATGCAGTTAACTCCCTCATCGCAAAGATCCAAATATCAAATCCATCTACTATCTGTCACTAAGACTTCCCAAAGCTTTAATTTTAAGAGATGAAGCTACCGGCTTTTGCAGTGTCACCCTATTACCATAAAAGAAGTGTCCTCCATAATAACCCTTCACCTCCAGAAGCAATTAACATGTAAGATCTCCTTGCATATTGAAAAATCAACGAGCATACAGGAGACAAGAATAAACAAACTTATCCACAGAGTTACAGAGTGCAATTTTGACATTACGCTAAATTTTCCAAACTCATTCTAAAGAAAAAGTAATAAAGGCAGCTGGAAGAAAAAAAATTAGGAATCAAGTATTGCCAGTTGAAGGGTTCATTTGCCTCCTCCTATAGCTGTTGGGGACAGACCTTCAGTGGAAACTTGCCATGCAGGCCAGACTGGTCTAACACTATCAAGAAGTTAAGTAAAAGTAGTTGTACACCAGCTACAGGTTTTTTAGAACATCACTTATTGCATGTACATAGAGTTAATACCTGTGTACCATTGTACACTTGGGCCTCTCTTGTAGGAGGGAGGTTAGTGATACCATAGCTTGTCTTCTGACAGAAAGTGCTGGATCCATACAGCAATCATGGAGAGTCAACACATCCTGAAATAAAAAAATCACAAATTAGACAACATACTATCTTGCTTTAGTACAATTTCTTAGGTGATTGTAGAGATGTGCACACTCTGATTGGTTGAGGATTGCATTGTATCTTGCTATTATCACCTCACACTAGATGATTATAGCTGGGGTGGTAAATTTCAATATAACCAAGAAAGTAAAGAATCTGAAAGCTACCCTAATTATTCTTGGAAACATTTCTCTTTCTTTTTCAAAAATAAAATGAAAGTTGATTATAGTTGTCACTGTTCAAAGGGAGCTGTTACCCATTTCCCCCAGCCAAAGGAGATTAAAAAATCGATTCCATGTTACCACAGGGTCTGTTCAGTAATAGATCACAGATGACATCAAAATGTGGTAAGGACATCATCTACTAGTCTGTCCTGCACTAGATCATGAGGATGAACCAGAATGCATCTTTAAATTATGCTTTTCACACAACTCTAAATGGAACATCCAATGGCACAACAATTAAGAAGTGGATTTTGTGTAGGGATGGTCATTGTTGAATATTTGTGAGTAAGAAGTAATAACATCATTACTTACCACTCTCTCCAAGGAATCCAGATTAAGGGTGATCACACTTTCTAGAGCCTTCAAAATGATAAAGGAATTGATAAACAGGCATAATACATCATGATTTGTGGTAGTAGAAACTTACCAGGAGCAGTCACACAGCAGCTAAACAATTTTCACTGAATTTCCACAAAAAATTCTTTCAAACAGATGTTGTTTATAAATGTCAAGCACTTCAATAAGCTAAAAAATAAAATTACAATCAAAAATTCAATTTTGAAAATTTCTCAATTTTGGCTTTTTCCCCTTTTGGAATTTTTTTTTGACAGCATTACTGCTGTTAGGTGTAAATAGAATATTTCACAAATTATTAAGAGTTGGCATGTAACTTTCTGGACAAAATAACGACAAGTCAAACCTGCAGAGCAGCCTTGCGAACTCCAACTTTCTCATCACGTGTTCTTTTTCTTATAATCACACCAATGTTCCTGGTCTCTGCTTGCTTATCTGAAAAAAAAAAAACAATTTAAACAATTAACATAACGTTAATGTAAGACTCTACAGCAGAATTTTTCAGTGACTCACTATTTGCTTGTCTGTTTAATGTTGGTGTCCCCTCTGCTGGACTCTCCAGTGGTTCATGAAGTGCTTCTTTTACTCTCAACACTAATGCACTGTTTTCTAATGTTGCACACTGAGCAAAGTACTGCAGAGCTTTGGCACGCACCCTGAATAAAACAATGAATTGTACTTAGGAATGTATCAAAATATGTCAACAAGTAGCAGTTTATCAATTTAAAAAATCTTGTGATAGAATATTTCACTTTAAACCCTAAGGAAAAGTGTTGTGGTTTCTTGGTGCTATACAAGTGAAAGTGTAATTTGTTTGGTATTATGTGGGAGACAATGCCATCTTTCCTAGATGAACAATGATTGAGAGAGTCAGGTTGAAGCCCTAGCCAGCTCATTGTGTTTAGTTCTTAGGTAAGACTCTTTGCTCTAAGGGCCTAAATGTACCACCCAGGAGTATGATATAGTCCTAACAGACTGCTGATAGCCTGTCACTGCTCGGCATCCCCTTCCTAGTAACCACACCTTAACCCTTCAATCCCAAGAGTGACCAAAAAGAATTTCTCCTTACTATATTAATACAAGATCAAACAAACAAGGAATGAGAGTTAAGAAAGTTAACAATTAGGAGATTATTAGTTGATCCAATACCAAATTCTCCAACATAACATCATAGTAATCATATGGTGGGTAGTAAGAAGAATTACAATTGAGATCTTGGGAGTGAAAGGGTTAACTGTTACAATGTTTGACCAACTGACTGATGGAAGATCAATCTGATCTCAATTTGTTGACAGGCCCACCAAATACCGTGAAGTAAATAGTGGAATTGAAAGAGTGCATTATTGTTGACTGAGCAAAGGACTTCAAATATCCCTGACCAGGCAAACGCAAAGAACAAACCAAACTAACTAACCACACTAACTGGATGAGTAGTTAGTTTTTTTCTTAAAGCTGCAGCTTATTTGGTGGAGGTACTTAATAGAGGGGACTGGCACTTTTTTAAGGATTTAAAGTATCTTGATTTACACTCACATTGGTGCCCTGTCAGAACACCTGGCTATGATGATGTCCAACAGATATTTCTTGCAGAGAAGTTTTTTCTTGTCATCATCTTGTAAATTTTCTGGTTAAAAAAAAATTATGTCTTAGCAATTTTGGCTACTTATACTTCACATATCTCATTATCTTTGATTTTTCCTTGTTGAATAACTTTGTAGAGGATTCAGAATGTTCCCTTACCATCTGATAGAATCCTCTCTGGTTCAACTAGGAGAAGTGAAAACACATCCAAAGCAAATATCCTGTAACTTATCTGTAAAAGAAAATCCTTGTTGAATTACTCACAATCTGTGGGGCCCAATTTCTTAAAAAACTGTACACCTCACTACAGAGGCAGCGAGGCCAAAAGGTTGTATACTTGAGATAGTATCCAAAGAAACTGTGAGGTTGTGTCAGTGGGAGAGTTTAACAGGGTAATTTAGTATAATCAACTGAGTTGATAGCGTAAATTGGCCACAGTAAAGAGTTTCAAAGCCAACACTTTGAGTGTTACCCCTTCATCAGAGCGAATGAAAGGGCTAATGGTTGAAATGTCAGCTTTGATACTCTTTACACTGGCCAATTTACGTTGTCAACCCAGTTGATAAAACTAACTTACCCTCAAAAGGTTGTATATTGCTGTATTTGAAAGTTGTTGGTTCAACCTTTAAGTACTTCTCCCTGCCTCTCAGTGAATATGCTCATCTTCTCTCAAGTTCAACTAATCTTTTAATTATTATCTTCATTTTTATCATCATCATTGTTATCACCAGTGTCATCATTATAGTCATTATCATCATTATTCACATTATTATCGTTATCATTATTAACATCATTATCTTCATGCCAATATCCAGGAGTTTCAATAACTTTTTCCATAATTTGCTACAATACCATAATAGAAAGTGGCACCCAATAAAGAGGCTGCAAGTTGAAACCCAAAAGCCTCCTCACAGGCTAAACAGACAGCTGTAAGAAGTCTCCTGGGTAGTGGAAGACCTAGCTATGATTCACAGTGTCACACATGGAAACTGTACAAGAATATATGATATGATCTGGAGAGTTAGCAACATGTCAGCTAATCAGTTGCATACAAATCTCTGACCAATACCTTGTCATTTTTGGAGTACATGTTAATCCATTCTACAAGACTGGCATACTGATTAACTGGTAAAATTTTCATGATATCAACTACTCCCTGCAAGACAAATTCCATCGATAACAGTATGTAAGAAAAGAAAAGAAATTATAGATCAACACTTGCAGTTTTCTGGGTGGTACTAGAAAAGTTGGACAAAGGAAGAAATTCATCAATAATTTTCTTTCTGCATGGTGCAGGGCAAATTATTTTTGTCGGTCAAATAATGGGTTCTCCACTAATAAAAAGGTATGAAAAAATTCATCAAATGATGATAAAATATATTCAAAAATCCAGGTCAGACTGATTAAGTTGTAACTGGTCTAATTACCTTTGCCACAGTAATTCTGTACTCTGCTCGTTCAGGGCAACTGGTAAAGATATTTTGAACAAGAACTTCTACAGAACACAGCACCTCTTTGGTCTCTTTCTTTGCTAGATAGCTGAATATCAGAGCACAGAAGAAGCATATGAATCAAATTGAATGCTAAAATCAAAAAGAGTGATTGTTATATCTGTGAATATTTTCCACTGGCTGATCAGGAGTGAAGCAAAAAAGTGGATGATTCTGGGCGATTCAGCTCTGTCCATACAAGTCTATACAATCAAGGTTTAACCATACTTTGCAGTTTTTTGCATCTACTTTGCTACATACAGTAAACTATAAAGCCCTGCTGACAGACATTAATATATCCAACCCTAGTTTTCCATGAGCATTCTCCCCTTCCCTCCAAGTGAGGCCAGCAAGTTTAATTCAGATGATTTCCATTCTTGTTTATATTCCTTCTCTAATGCAAACAAGCTGTAACATGTAGTGAACATATATTTGACATTTACCAGATAAATGCAACAGCTTGGTCCTTGATGTTCTGGACATTTCTGGATATGGTTCCATTACTGGCAATTGCTCCACCAAACACCATAAGAACATTTGAGATTAAGTGTTCAAAAACCTACAATAGTCAGAAAATAATCATTGAAAATAAATGTTTGATTTGCAAAGTTTTTAATGAGTTTTGCTTCTTTTTCTGCTATTTTTCCAAGATATAATTAGAAATTGATTTATACATGTAGATCTGTGGATTGAAACTGTTAATAGCAAAAGCTGTGGACCTACAGTGTGAGTGATTGTTCCAACATCGCCATGAAGAGGTGAGCAAATGACCCTCAGACCCTTAAAAAAAGGCAAAGAAATCATATAGTTGAACTTCAAATATGTGTCTGCTGAAGAGGGTTATCATCTCAGTCCAAAAGCATTTTTCAAAGAACAAGATGTAAATGACCACCATGCACTCACAAATCGTGAGCTCACCCATTTTTAGCAAATTATTATATCACTAGCAGTGCCCAGGGGGCAATATAAAGAAAATACTGTGTTCTGATTGGCTACATGGAAAGGGGGGGCAAGATGGGCTCAGGGTTGCCCACTTTGATTGAAAGTAATGTGTAAATGTGAAAGGCAAATGAGAAACATTTGAAAAGTATTGAGAAAAATTTTATATCTCCCTCTGGAGTGTTTTTTCATGCTTTTAAACTTGTTTTTTGGAGCTCATACATGAAAAACTCAAGCATGCACTTTTTCTAAGATTGCAAGATGGATTTAGCTGAATGGACTTATGACTGGCTGCTTCAACTGTCTGATATTACAGCTAACTGTCTGATTACACTGTCTGATCACAACTTTAAAGAGTGTAAGTACAAAATGAAGCAGCAGATGCACCAATCACATTTGAGGACATTTTAATGGTTATGGTTAAATTGGTTATGAATGAAAAAATTGAAAATTATGATTGTTATCATGTAACTGATACAAAAAGACAAAAAAATACTTACAAAGTAGGCCAATGAAGCAATAGACTTAATGGAATAAATTTGGTCCCTGCAATCAAACAGGTGCAATCAAAACTTATTGAGATCAAGAAAACACTTTAGTTTATTTCTAAGTAGTACATGTTCTGAACTTTGGATTAAAGAAGTGGAACTAACCCTGGAAAGTCAAATACAACTTGTTCAATTGTTTCAACGCCCTGACGTGTAGTTTCCACAAACAACTGAATTACATGATGGGCAACCTGCTCAGAATCTTTGAGGGAGTAGCTGTTTAATAGTACAACTGCATCCTGCAGCACAAAAAGGAACAACAAAAAAGAATACAAGAATTTTCAATTGCTACCAGTTAAAGACTCAGGGGTGGGAACTTAAAAAACATTCCAATAATTATAACCAATGCTGTTAAAATAAGTATAACAAATTATTTAATTTTTCACCTAATATTTTGGTTTCACTCAGTCAGATGACAATGTTCAGACACTTTAATTAATTTTTTATGATAGAGATCTACCATAAACTTGCACATACCTGCATTAATGATAACAGTCTGAATTTAACATTAGCCTTGGCTTGTTCAGTGTTAATCTGCCCACTCATTTCATTATCCCCGTTGCCACTGCCATCGTCGTCATCATCATCATCATCATCAGAGGCAGCATCTACTTCCATGCAATCACCATCACCTTCTGAAATGAAAATTGCACTTCCAGTTGGCTTTTAAGGGGATCATGACAATTAGTTAGGATAGATTCCTGGAGGCTCATGGTAGCCTAACCTTACAAGCTCACCATCATTTTTTCAACCAGCCATGTTTGATTTAGATTTAGAGAACACTCTATTTCTATAGTCTCACCCCACCTTACCCCTCTCCTTCCTTATGAATGTCACTCACACCCCTTGGTACAAACTTATTTCCCTTCCCAGCCATCCACTGCTGTAAAATCACAAAGAGAATACAGAGCACTCGCTTGCAAAAATGACACTAGATTCTGTAGTTTGATCATCCCAGTCAAGTCCTGAGAAGGACTGTTGTCAGTAGCAGTGATGACATTTCAACCACCTTCGCTAAAGTCTTCATCAGAATCAAGCCTGATGCCATCCTTAGGGGACAACAATGAAGATGACTTCTGCCATGGTTGTCGAAACATCAGTCACTACCACTGACAACAGTCCTTTTCAAGACTACTCTAACCTAGACAATAAAACTATATGGTTAAAGCATATAGCCCATTGCCTATCTCTACCTTCTCTTCCATGTCTTGCTTTTGTTCTACGACCTTTTGTTAATGTCCCTTCTTGTCTCTTCCTCTTGTTTGTCTCTGTTCATGGTACCAAAAAGATGCAAAATCATCAAGGAGAAGGATAGCTACAGAATTTATGGTCAGTAAAATTTGTTTTCATATAATTCCTGATTAATCAGTTTCAACCTGATTTTTCACACAGATCTTTCTCTCCACTTTTGAATGCTATGACCAAATCTTCACAGGCAGATGAAGATACTTCAACATATTCATGTGTGATAGTTGCAAGACCCTATAACACTCATGAAGTATTGAACAATTGAAGCACTGATACTAAAAACCATCAATGCACCTTTAAAACAGTAAATGAGTGACATTTTTGTTCTTTACTTGACAAAAATCTATGATTTACTATCTTCTTTGTTCCATTCATTCACACAAGCTCTCAACTTAGCTGATCTTCTAGTAGCATGCAAGACACTTGTCTGATCTCATACATAAATTTATATTCATATATTTGCCAAACTTATTATCAAGTTCTCTAAGCACAGCAGCAGAGCACTGGCACATGAAACTCAAAGGTCTGAAGTTCAATTTCTTATGGCTGAAAAGTGATTTTTTTAATGGTAATTTAGAATTATCAACTGGTTGATAGGGTAAATTGGCTGCCATAAAGAGTTTCAAAGGTGACATTTCAAGCGTTAGCCCTTCATCAGAGCAAACGGCTTGTTTCGATCTGACAAAGGGCTGATGCACATAATGTCAGCTTTGAAAGTCTGTACAGTGGCCCATTTAATTGATTGCCCTGTTATACTCTCCCATGGACACACCACCACAGTTTCTTTAGAAACTTAATCCCCTCATTCATTTGGATTTTTTTTTCAGTTGCCCATGTTCATTACAAAGAAACATTTAGTAACAACTTTCTTCATTTAATAATAAAACTCAAAACTGACTGTCTTTCTCATTCTATCATTTGACAAAACAGTTCCCTACCTCTGTGAGGCCAAAGACGCAACACATCCAAAGCTTTCTGGAATAATAAAGGATGGAAAACTTTGTATGCTCCACTCCCTGGAGAAAAATAATGCTAATCTTTCAAACTCATTGTAAAAATTCAATGAAATAATGAAGATTACCAAACCTATGCCACTGAGATAATAGGCAAGCCCTCTGCAACCTCTCAACCCTCCCCTCCCCCACCTCCCCAATTCACAATCTTTGACAATTCAAGACAATAACAAGCAGCTTGGGGAGGTTTCTAATTCATAAGAAGGTATTATAATTAAGGGTACCCATTTCATTTCTAATAATTAATATGTTCCTCACCTGGTATTTGAACCAAAACAACATAAATGTTAGCTGCTAGCACACAGCTTTCCAGTTTAGGTCCAGCCTTTGATGTCTACACAAAGTACAAAAATCAACTTATTATGTCTAAATAAACAATAGCCTCCATTTGGTGCAAAAATATGCAAAGAAATTCATCTGTTGACACTATCGGTTCCAAGACGCAGACAATTTTCCAAGAGCCAAGCTCAAGGAAAACTGTGAGCTTCAAGGAACAAATAATGTCTAAGAACAAATATACTTTTGCACAAAATAGGGGCTATTGTGTAAAATAAATGTTTACAAACAGCTTACTGTTTGCTGCATTGAATGTTTTCTTTAAGTGTTCTCTGGTACCACTTTGTGAACAAACAAATATTTCCTTCCATCTGAAACAAACACCTAACACTCTTTATCTTGAATTAAATTTCAAATGAAGGCTTTTTGTAGTGGATGTAAGGTTTGAAAACTGGGTAACACTTGTATGTATAAATCTCACTCTGGCAGAACCATAAGTCACAACCCTTGTCAATTTCTGTTGAGATCCCTTGCTCCCCTCTAAATCTTGTTTTTTTTTTTTTCAGTGGGGCCTCCTAAAAGGGAGAGCACTTTGATGTACAAAACAGATCTTGGGAGTTTATGGAATCATCAAATATCACTTAGTTTTGTTCATCCATCAGCCATAATCAAATCCTTAATGAGCAGGCAAAAATACTTCCTTAACCATATAACTCCCAAGACATGATTGTTTATTCTCTCATCTAACTACTTTATAAAAATTTGGGTTTAGATCAAGATCACAACTTCTATCTGAAAAGTTTGAGTATTCTCATTATCTGTTTGGTGGATGTCCAGATATTATGGGGAGAAGTTACATGTTAATCACTTCTGGGAGTTAAAAGGGCTTAGGCAAACAGTGTCTTATCCTAGGCCAATACAATTGAGTAATAGCTCTCACCTTGTCACAGGATTCAATAAATGAGTGGAGCAAAGAAATCAAGACTTTGTGTGAAAAATTGTTGTCTGAAAGAACCTTCCATAAGCCTGAAAAAAAAGTCAGGATTTCTTTAGAAACAGCTCATGAAAACTTATTCCTGTCTATCACACAAATAACAGATAAAGAGGAGTACAAAATAAAAGAACTAAAAGTTATTTGGCAGGGTTAAGTTGGACATTGGCAGTGAACAGCAGTATTTTTAAATTTCTAAAAAATAGTTGTTAATAGTAGCCTGAAAAGGGGAATGCGTCTGGCGCACCGATGGGTTCGAATCCACTGAAAACTGATGAACCAACTCAGTTACAAAATAATACAAAGGTTCTACAGCAAGTTCACCTTCATTTAAAGTGTCTTGGCCCACAGAAGTTGTCCACTGCTTTGAAATCAACAACAGCTCTTTCAATTCCCGTACAAAGTATCCACGGTCAATCATGCAGTTTTCCACGATCTCTGGAAACCCTTGAGACTCGCAAAATTCAGAATTCCAAGCATCTTCTGCCCATTCTCGGGAAATGGAAGAAATCTGAAGATTACTACAAGCGGTAATTGTCTTTTCTGTTTTCGAAAGCGCCATATTGGAAACGAACTTGAAAAATTCCCGCCTTTTTTGTAGCTGGCTTGGCAGCCGCTGCTAAACTAAAACAAACTCCTCCAGGGTCTGCTAAGGTACGATGAGGGTAATCTTCAGCTTTTCCAAATAAATGACCTCTGGCAACTTTTTACATCCCTAGTAATTATCTTCTTGAACAGTTCTTCCTAACTTAATCCATTTCTCTGTCTAAGTAAATGAAATATGACACAATCAAAGACTACAATACGAAATTTATGAAAATTTAAGTCTACTCTACCTCCCCTACTGAAAACATTATCGCTCAGTTGCCACGTTAAATTTCACATGGGAACAAACACTCATCAGCTGAGAGTGGTCCATATCAAGAAATTTCTTGAATTTCAAAAGGAAGAAAGTTCATCACCCGTCCTTTTCGAACTAGCAGTAGAGTCTTAGTATTGAGAATCTTCCTGGCAAAAATGGGAGAGAAAAAAGGTGGAAATCCGGGAGAAAAACGGACTAACAAATCTAAAGATGGCGGATCGAGCGATGATTCGAAAACATCCTACAAGAACTTTGCTTTTCTCTGCCTAATGGTTCTGCCATCTCTATTCTGGCTTGCAGCTGTCGGTGGTGATGTTATTTCTAATGCTGGTACAGTATTTGGAAACAATTCGAAGATTCTATCGGTGATCGGGCTGATAGTAATTACAATCATTGCGGGATATCTCTTCAAACCGCTAAGGTTGTATTCAAAACTGTTGCTTCCTGCGTTTCTTTGGGCGCTTCTTCTTCCCACTTTTCAAATATATTTGTGCTCTCCACTGGAAATCAAGAACGAAAACATCGGAACACAATACAGCTTGAAAACGACTGCGTCGGAATTTCTTCAGCAAGCTTGTGAAGAAGTTTGCTTGAATAAATCAAAAATTCCATCATCTTACGCCTTAACCTTTTTTACTCCTCGAGTTTCGCTTCGCGTCAAGTTCAGCCAGATCGTAGATTTAAACATAACGACGTCAACAATGGTAGGCGACGAAAAAGTGCCTTTGGCAAAAATTGTACTTCTGAAATCATGGCGGAGTGTGAAAGGAAAGTACTTTGGTCTTCATATCATAACAAGGGTACCAGTGAAGATTAAAAAATTTCAAGAAAGCATGACTGCCAAGCAAGGAATGCTTTTATCAGGGAGAGTGGAAAATATCCCTTCAGATCTGAAGAAACTTCGTAGCGATCTGGAAAAGCAGAGACATTTTATTCGACCGTTTGTTTTGGAAGTCTTCAGGGCAACCCCGATTGAAGAGTGAACACTGTAATAATTAATAAAATGCTTAAGCTGTGTTGTCATGGTAGCTGGTGAATTTCCAGCTGATCAGAAATTTTAATTTTTTTTTCTCTCAAGGGCAAGATTTCTGCACAGCCTCATATTTTACTATACATACAGTTCTTGTATGAAGAAAACAATGCCACAAATAATGGGTTCCCTATGATACTGTGGTTTTTACAATGGTCTGCAGAAATCTTTCCCCTTTTAGTACCAAGGTTTTGCAACCTTTAAGCTGTGAGATAATTGAAGAAATATTTTTCATGTTCTATACATTTAGAAATACTTGCATGATTGATTGCCTTCTCTCTCTCCTTGCGCTCACAAATTAATTCCTATGTCAGCAACCATGCGCCTATGTGATTTCATCTATCATCAATTCTGGGTGGGTCAAGATATGGAAAAGTGTGGTCTCAAAACCTGGCTCTAGACCAAAATTAATCTTGCCTGCATTAATTTAAACATATGCCTTCTTTTGCACGATAGGCTTCCTGATCAAACAAATAATAACGAATGTTTTAACTCTGGTGTGACTGTTTTGTGCAAAGCAAAAGTTTGACAGTGATTTTATATTTAGGAATTTGATAACTATTTAATCACTGGATTATTTAGTTTCATCAGTAGTGTTGATAATGTATATTGGCCACTGTAAAGAGTCTTTATTTCATTAATTGGTTCATCAGTTAGAAAAAGATCGAAGAATGATCAACTTAGCTTAACTTAATTACTGTGCCTTAATTTAAGATCAACATTATTAAAAAGAACCTTTTTCAGTAGCTAATCAATCTTTTGCTTTGAGACCTCCATCTGAGTGACCTTTGGACTCAAAGTGTGACCAACTCTGAGCCACTTTGCTTTTAGGATTTTTTCTTTGCTTGGCCCTTGACTTTTGAATTTTTTAGTTTTTCATAATATTCCTGGGCTACATTGTTTAAAGCTGAATTAAAATAACCCAAGATAAGTGTGAAATCTGATTTCAGATCTGAAAACCTGAAAAGCAAGCACAATTCTTTTTGTTCGTGATGATTGGATGCTCTGAAAAGAACAGAGAAAATTGTCCCTAAAGCCTTTTGAACAAAGGAATAAAGAAACCCAGATCAATAGTTACCTTAGGTTTACACTTATTGGCCTTCAATCAACTGGGCCCAGATTGTTTACTTTTATTGATAATTACTGATAATTATTATCTCTTGAAGATGCTGGCTCCACAGAACCTGTCCATGATGAAAATTTATTTTATCTGTTTCAAGAAACAGATGTTAAATCTTGACTAACACTTGACTGTATGTAACTCTCTCACTCTTAGGACTGACTAGATTAGATTTCTCCCAATTGTATCAATAGAGTTTCAAGCAGAAAGATGATGATAAACAAGAAGTGTATAGAAAACTGACAAATTGACATTATAATCTTAGTGGTGAAAGGGCTAATTTCCCTTTTTAGATATGTTCTTGGCTTCGGAACTTTTAGCAATGCCACTAACACTCAAAGGAAAATTACTTTCAATTGATAGCTATAACAGTCAATCTTGTTTTTTCAGTATTAATTCTCCATGTTGCCATTGTTATATTTTTGCTTGGATGTACAGCATTTACTCAGTCAAATGCCACATTTCCCATTCTGGTTTATTAGAGGGGAGAATTTACTTTTATCATTGACAACAAATAGGAAATCTTTTGTAAATATTACACTAAATAGAAAGTAGTGTTAAGCTTCAATGTGCTGTTTTTTGCCATGTTGAAATCAAATTGTCTGGCTTGTGTTACGTATAACAAGGATGTTGTGCAATGTACCTGCCATACGTGTTATTTTCCTCATTATCCTTTAACCCTTTAGACCCTAACATCAGTATGCATATTCTCCATACTGTTCTCTACATGTTTCCTAAGTTGCTGACAAGGAGAATTTGTTCAACAATCAAGAGTTTCTTTAGTTGGTGATCATTTCCTTTATTCTCGTGACCTTAACGTGTGGCTCAGGGGTGCTATTCTAGGGAGAAATTAGATGGGAGTCACACTTGGGGGTTACAGGTTTAACATGCAAGGCATGATGAAGTGCAAAATTAAGGTTTCATGAATGAATTTTACAGAAAGGGGTGCATAATTTGCAAATTTTTTAATTAGCATGAGGTGTGATTTACCTCCTAAAATATATGACTGGTGAATATTCTCTTAAATTTTTATGAAAACCTCAAGATTTCCCAGAAACATTCGCACAATGAGAGATTTCAAGCTTTTCCTTTTAACTACATAAGGCACAAATTTTACATAAGTTCACATGTGAAACAGGATCAAGTTTCCTTCACCCCCCTTTTTTTTCTATCCTTCTTTATCATATGCTTCCTTCAACTAATTATAAGGCACTTATTGGAGGGCAGTAGTTATTAATAAATTTCCTTTCATCGACATTTAAGGGAGGGGAAAATAGTTAAAAGTTTCCTGTGGCCAAATTTAGAGACTTACTACTTTAAGTCTTCTTTTTGTCTTTTAGTTTCACATATCAGCCAGGATGAAATAAAATGGAATGTAATTTAGTTTCTGAAAGGTAGGAAAACAAGATCAGCTTACAATGTAATGTAGTCATAATGTACTTGTGAAAAACCCTTTCCCATGGACAAATTTTTAAGGACTGGAGTGAAACTGGTTTGATCCGGGAGAACTTATCCCAATACTGACTGTGCACTAAAAATATCCCAGCTGCAATACAATAATTCTAATTCAAGGGCTTAAACCACACAGAATTTCACAACAAAAGTTCACTATCAAACTCTTTATTTACAAAGATAATGTTTGGTCTTTTGCTTAAATACATGTCACATGTTACAAAAATATGGTTGAGTGACTTAACCTCAACAGTTGTTTCATACCTCTAGAAAATCTAGTCAAAATAAATATTTTTCTTGGTATAAAACAATATAATACTTTAATAACTTAGGTATTGATAAAAATATTTTCCCATGTCACGATTGTCCCTTTTAGTCATGTAAGGAATATATTTACACCTGAGTGGTCTTCCTGTTTGAAAATAATAAAAAAATTTTCTCAAGAAATGGACCATGAAATGTAGTTTCTACATTGTACAGATTCCTTATAAATTGTTCACTTTTGATGCATTGGCCTTTTTTGAGTCTAAGACTAAACAACTATTGAGCTAAATACAACACAATTATATTGCTGAAACCTGGTATAAATTATACCTTTTTGGTTAGTGATTGCACTAACTTTGGTCTTGCATAGCAAGATATTTAAGCGCAGAAAGAAGTTTGAAAAGCTCACAGGAAATCATCTAAATGTTGTTAAGTACAAAATACAGTTCTAGAAAATATTTATATGCAAATTCTTGCAAAAATTTAAATGCCATAGGGTTCATCAATAGAACAACTTATGCAAGGAGAGGTTTATTTGTGTTGTTTCCTTGGGCACTGAAGCCTGGTCGGTTATCCACAACTCCCTCGGGTTTGGGTTGTGGTGCATGAAGTTTGCTAATATGCCGCGACAAGTGGCTAGGGTTGTTGAAAGCCTTGGGACATTTAGAACACTGATAAGGTCTCTCTCCTGTGTGGATGAGAATGTGACGCTGCAAGTTGCCAGAGATTGAGAAGCACTTTGAACAATGAGGGCATTGGTATGGCTTTTCTCCAGTATGGACTCTTGTGTGAATGACAAGGGCGCTCTGTTTGCTGAATGCCATTTGGCAGTGTTGACACTTGAAAGGTTTTTCACCTGTGTGGCTACGAATGTGCCTGACCAACATTTGAGAGTCATTAAATGATCGCACACAAAACTGGCATTTATAAGGCTTTGTGCCAGTATGAACCAATAAATGTTTCTCAATTGACTGAGAGTCACTGAAGGCCCGTCCACAATATTCACATTTGAAAGGCTTCACACCAGTATGACTGTAGGTGTGTTTTTCCAAGCTTGTATTGTCATTGAATCCTTTATTGCAGTAATCACACTTAAAGGGCCTCTTTTTGTTGTGTACAAGCATGTGACATTGCAGTCCATCTGCACGTGTAAATGCTCTGTTACATTCAGGACACTTGAATGGTTTTTCACCAGTGTGGGTGCGCTCATGAGAAGTCAAGTGAGAGTACCACTGGAATCCTTTGTGGCAGAATTTGCAAGTGTATTTTGCATGCCTTCTCCTTCCTTTTCTTGACAGGTGGTTTTCACTCTCACCATCCTCTGGCAAATCACCCGGAGAGCAGTTTTCTTTTTGAGTTGGGCTGTAGGTTTCATCTGCATCATCAAGTTCATTGTAGTCTCCCTCTTCCTCCTCCTCAAATTCATCCTCTTCTTCTGAAAGGCTTTCACTATAAGAATGTGCTAGAGCTTCTTTCTCAGTAATGTACACACGTGGAGCAGCAGACTCTACCTTGACAGTCCATGTGCCCTGTTCAGTTGGTGGCCCAGTCTGGATACCATAATCTCTCATAACAACAGTGTACGAACCATCTTCTTCTTCATGGGGTGAACCAGGAGGAGTGATCACACAGCTGGATTTGTTCAAGGCAGGGTTGTGACCAGGAGACTTTGACATTCTCTCATTACACTGGAGGTCTGTGCCAGGGCTTGAACTGTGCTGTGGGTAGCTCTCGGATGGCAACAAACTGTCCCTGACTTCACGATGAGGCATTGCAGTCTTCCTTCTTTTAGCTCCTTTTGGTGGCTGGCTGGGAGGCTGGCTCAGAGTCTCTCTTGAGTGCTGGCTTGGAGGCTGAGATGAGTGTGGACTTTGCTGGATCATCTGAGGTGCTTCAGTTACTGGAACTCTGTACACTGGACTGTGCATGAAGTCCGGAGGTGGGGGTGCATAAACAAACTTTTGCTGCTCTTTTCCATCTGGGGTGTACTGTGGAGTAGGAGGTTGGCTTACATTCTCGACAGGATATGGAGGTGATGGCAAATGTACTGCTTTCTGATCTGGATACTGCTGCACAACTGATTGCTCATTTGGTGGTTTATTAACTGGATAGTAATG